TTTATCCCAAGGTGAGACCCAATTGCATAATGGTAAGAAAGTCAAGACCATAACTTATAACATGGAAGGATTGTTAAAGTTATCGGTGGAAAAGTATCTTGACATCATTGGTAAGGACACAAAATTGAAGAAGGTATCAACTCCAAGCCTTCCAGAGGAAACGAAAAGCAGCCCGTATCGAGCTCCTTCCGATGGAAAACGCAAAGTTGAGTGTCCTTGGTGTGCACATTCCTTCGATCCAGATATGCTTGCTCTCTCTGAGACTGGCAACTCACGTCCTGCGCAAGACAGTGAGACGCTGAGCCGTGGGAATCTAGCTCCGCATGCAGCTAGTGTGCTTATGAAGCTGCTTTATGCAGCCCGCATTGCGCGGTTTGACCTGTTGAGATCCATCAATGCATTAGCACGTAATGTGACTAAATGGACAAAGGATGATGACGCCCGTCTTCATCACCTAATGTGTTATGTTAATTCCACATTGTCCCTCAAAATGATAGGATGGGTCGGAGACAAAATTGAAGATTTATCATTAGGACTATTTGCAGATGCGGATTTCGCTGGATGTGCCCAATCCTTGAGGTCAACATCAGGATCGCACTTACAAGTCCAAGGTAAGTTCACAAGATTCCCACTTGCTGGTGGAAGTAAGCGACAAGGGTGTGTTAGTCATTCTACCCCCGAAGCTGAAATTGTGGCTGCAGATACTGCACTTAGGACTCTAGGAATCCCCGCATTAAGTCTGTGGAAAGTCTTAGCCAAAGTTTTTCCTCAACTCCTGTTTCATGACGATAATCAAGGTATGATTGGTGTTGTCAGATCAGGACGGAATCCAACCATGCGTCATTTGGAGCGCACACATGGTATTTCCATTGCCTCCATGCATGAACATTTCCAAAAGGATCATTTTGTATTGATCTATGAAATTACAGCCAAAATGGCAGCCGATATCCATACTAAAGGATTCAAGAATCCCATGGCATGGAAGAAAGCTTGTATGCTAATCAACTTGTTGGAACCTCAGGACTTGCAGAGCAAAGAAGTATTGGACATGTTGCAGCCAAGCACCGATGTCGATATGACTACTCGCCAAGTTTTCCAATCCAAAACTGAGGACATCCCAAACTTCCCATACACGGAAACCCCTATTTTGCCAAAAGAAGTGTATAGGAAGGGTTTGACTAGTAAAGAGAAGCTACAATACTTGCCAGGTATGGATCCCATTTTTGTCGTCAAGCAACCGGTGTTTTATCGTCCTAAGCCACCCGGCCTGATTGTGCCGCCAGATGTATTGAGATCCACATGGGTTCTTCTCAATGGTGCCTGGACAAAGGTCGAACACCGTGCATCTCCACCAGAGCAGGCTATCAGATTTGATAAGTGGGTTGAACGAGCGTGTTTTCAGTACCACTCGCCTAACAAGCAGCCGTTGATCCCGGACACTGTTTCACAATCCGTTTCAACGACCTCAACCCACCGGGTGATGTCGTCAAAGCACGTGCATGCCCCGCCTGCCCACTCGAGATCACTACGTGACTCGTGTGCGCCAACACAACATGACCGTGTACAGCATCTGACCGATTCACCAATGCTGATGTTCTCGGTTGATGCCTTGTTTTTAGATGCACAGACATCACCGTCTCAACACCCGAAATCCATTCACCAGTGCCTTCAGCCAGCCACACGTGTGATCAATACGCTTATGCGCCTTGTTCATGGGGGGAGTGAGGGTGAAGGATATAGTGAGGGTGAAGGAAAGGGGCACCCACAGTCCACTTCAACACCTGGCCTATGTCACACGCATCCGGAATTGGACATCAGTGATAACATTCCGTTTGTAAAATCCACCCGAAAATCCCAAGTGTTAGGTAAGAAAAATGAAGACCATTGGCAGTGGGATGGGAAAGAGACATTGATCCGAATTCACAAAACGCCAAGAAGGCAAAACTTTGTACCACAGGATTGCGAAGACTGTCCTTGTGACCCTAGGATCATATGTGATGAGAGGGAAACTGAACAAAAGTTCAAAACCAATACTCGAGTGATCAAGGACATATGGAGATTCAAGGGCGACAATCATGAATCAACAAACAAGTTGAATGAATTTTGGACTGGAAAATCGACATTCAGGGTGCTCGCCAATGCTGAAGTGATAGATGGAGGTAAGAACAAAGACCATGTCAAGAAAGCATGGGAGGAGGTGAAGATCGATTTGACAGGTGATGATGATGACGACGGGGTGATGCCAGGTGATGATGATGACGCCATGAAGAGTCCAGAACAAGAAACTCAACCAGAAGAAGGAGATGATGATCAAGCCTCGAAGAAGGGCGACATCAATGATGAGAAAAGAGACTTCAGAGAACAAGATGAGGTCGACAAATTTCTCAATCAAGAAGGAAGACCGACCGATGAGAACGATGATGAAGAGATAGCGGTCGATGAAATCAACATTGAAGAGTACGAGGCTGGAGAAGCTCGTGATGCAGTGATTGAGTACCCCAAGTGGATGCAACGGATTGAGTTTGGATCAAAGGTCCTGCCGATCGAACCTTGCACAATTGGAGATGCTCAGCCAGAATTCATCAAGATCCTCCTGTTGCAGATTGGATTACATATCGTCAGGATCTACAGACTATTCCAACGGAACTTCTGTGGAGACATCGAGACGGCATGGAAACATTTTCAACAGAACCAGAAATTCAGGATGGACCTGGACTCAAGGACACCTTACCTGGGCGAGGATGAAAATGGTGAACTCATTGAACCAACTGCACAACAGATGAAGGAGCTCTACAAAGAGATCGGCCGACCAAATCAAAAGGACGACATCGGAGAAGAGGGATTCGTCAATGCATACTATGGGGCAGTGGTACTCAAAAGACTTCTCATATATACCCTTGAATGTGGCTACACGTATGATGACTTGCAAAACATCTTCTTTGATGAGGAGATGGAGAAGCTGTCGAAACGTGACACCACAATGGATGAGATGAGAAAGACCACAGCGGCCCGCGACGCCCTTGACCGACAAGACGTCATGGTCAGAAGAATCATTGCAGGTGCATATAGGGTAAATGCTGTTTATTTCTTCAGGAACGTTGACTTTCAAGACACAATCACACTGAATCCAGTTGACATTGTGTGTGCTCTTCGTCCACCACTTCGAAGAATATCACTTTTACACCTGATCCTTCAGAATGGCCGACAATTGCCGCGACCTCTACTCCAAAAGCTATATGATGCGATCGATGACTACAATCACATCAAGCAACGGGAAGATCAACGACCAAGGTGGGGCATCCACTTGTCTGAAGCTCACATACTTGCGATTGCTGATACCCCGACTCCTGCTGATCGTGAACGTACCAATCCAGCCGCTGGCAAATCGAAAGCAGCCCCGAAAGCTGCACCAGCACTGGGAAGAGTGTCGAAAGCGAAAGCATCATCGTCAGCGACATGGAGAACAGTTGAAACCGCTCCTCCGCCAAAACAAGCTCCAGTGACCCCGCCAAAGAAGGGTGGAAAAGACCAAGGAAAAGGTGGAAAATCTTATTCACACCGTGGCGGAGACTGGAACCATCAGGGATACTATGGATGGGGAAATAGATGATTAAGCGATCTGACCTCTGCATAGGTCCCGATTGAACCTGGCGATGCGAGGATGCATTCATTGCTCGAGATTTACCTCTACTTCATTTTGAATGATTTCTGAGAGGACTCTGAGCCGGCTAATTTAGAACCACACATTTTTTTTTGAACATCATTGCATGAGACGCTGAGTTTCTACAGCGGTCTACATCTCAATCGACGAAGGAACGGGAAGGTAAAATTCTAGTTCCTGAGTCATATTTGTGTTTTGATTTTATTTGTAATTCACCTGCTTGAGTGGGATTCCATGCTGGCTACGCCACATCGGATGAACCTCAATGCTAGACACCGACTACGTCGTGTCTACATGCACGTGAACAGAACCTTTATCTTTTGGTAGAGATTGTAGCAAGCCGCCATGTAGATATGAAGTTCTGAAACGGACTTTAGCTCTCCATAATTCAATAAATGAATAGCTGCGAGTGTAATGGATCAATTCAAAGAACACTCCTTTGCGCGTAGCCGACAAAGTTGGCTATGCGTGGGGTGTGCGAATAGAGTGTAGGCTACGGATCACTGTATATATGCATAATCATACACTCTAGGATCCATCGTCAAAGGGGCACTCCGACATTGGCCTCTTTGGCCTCTTTGGCTCAAGACATACTGCAGCTACAGGGAAAATGAGAGCCATGCGGAAGCTGCCGCCCTCGTGAGGTCGTCATTGCAACTGCAAACATCAACATCAATTACTGGAATATAATCGGGAAGGCAATCCCCGATTCGCATATAGACTATATATATATATATGTATCTATCTGTGTAATCAATAGTGATTGTGCGTGAATGATAACGACCTCATTGCCACGTCACTGCAGTGTTCAAGACTCTAAGACCCTGTTGGTTGATGGTGGGGATTATACTAACCAATATCTTGGAGAAGATCACAATCTGTGAACGGGGAATCCTGTCAACCGTGTAATACGGGACAACACAAGGTATTGAACACTGCTCATGTCTTGCATGTTTTTTGCCTCAAAAAGATGGAAAAGTGTTTCTATCCTACCAAAATGATCCAACATGGAGGTTTCCTAAACCAGGGATTCCTGAAATAGGAACCTCAAATCAAGCAACATTAGACCATGACTTAGTATTGAAAGCCATGGTAAAAATATGGTATTTGTTTATTTTTAGAAACCCAAAAAGATGGAGAAGCAGGATCCTACCAACAGTTTTTTATCCTATCTTACCAAAATAGTACTACCCTCTGGTAAACTAACATAACTATGGAAAAGAATCACTATGTTTAATGGGTAAATCAACTAATCAACTATAAATAACCACTTTCAATAGCTATGTTTGTTTACCAGAGAGTAAACCATGGTAAAGCATGGTAACTGTTTTTTTTCCAGGACACCGGTGGTAGCTGCCAGTGGATGGGCTGCGCTTCGAGTCGTGGCAAGACCAGCTGCAGCAATGGCAAGTGCAAGTGCACCCTGGCTGCCGCCAATTTCCTGTGGGCATTTGGGGGATTTCATGGCTATTTATACGTATGGTTTAAATAGGGATACAGTAATAATGAGTCAAATTATTTTTTTGTGATATGACCACCAATAGTAGGATGATTATGCAGAATTGGGATCTAAAATCAATCATAACCAGGATAGAATGGGTATATCAATGGGGTTACCCTCTGGTAAACAAACAGTTTGCTATGGAAAATCAGCAGTTTTCATAGGTATATAAATCAACTATAAATGGTCCATTTTCAGTAGCTATGTTGAATTACCAGAGGGTAAGCGGTTGAGAACCCATATAGAACCCACATTAGGATTGCCTTCCGGTAGTCAAACATGGCAAGCTGGGAAACCCCAAACTAAATGGAGGTTGATAGCTGAGAAAATGATCTATAAATGGGTGATTTTCCAGCAAACCATGTTTGATTACCAGAGGGTACAGTGTATACCCATTGAAAATAGAGGTTCATAGTTGATCAATCATGCTTATATAGTTGATGGTTGATGGGTTGCATAGATTAATGGTGTTTTTCAACTTGCTTATTATCTTTTGGTGGATGATGTGAATACCTGTAAATACGCCACAACATTATTGTGACTCGATAAAAAATCATCCGCACTGTTCATACAAACCCAAAACGCTGATTGAGTCAATTCGATTCGGAATTATATATATAATCATAATGATTTGCCCGCAGTAAACTATCATACATAAGCAATTCCACGGAAAACCCTAAGCCAAAGAAGCGATCTACATGGTGGAATTGTCGTGTCTAAGCTGAATCTCTGGAGGGTAAACATGAGGAGTGCAGGTATCACGAAAGGCTGAAACATGTTGGTTCAACATGGTCAAACCATCCAACATTTTGGTATTTTCCCATCCATCTGATGGTTATGCCCAACAGATTGATTGCAACGGACCTCAAAGGATTATGACATGAGAAAGGGCGTGGTCAAGTCTCCGTCCTCGAGACCAAGATGCTCTGTGATTTCATGAAATCAGATTACTAGAAATGGCATTGGTTAGATGCCATTGCTGCTTTAGCAGATCACCCTGAGGGCACCTAAATTTAGGATATTCAAAGATATGATTAGCGACCAGCAGAATTACTGTAGAATCATATATAGATATTTCAGAGAAGTTGGGGCAATGTTTTGTACATAATTTCAACAGCAACATTATTTATGCATGTAATTTGACACAGGAGGAGACAATTCTGTTGCTGTTGTGCCAAGGCGCCAAGGGCTACTGCAACATGAAAGGAAAGTTCCCTGGATGCAAGGGAATCTTGGTTTCTCGTGCGACATTATGAAAACATGACCATCATAACAGTGACTTTGCAACTTCTTGGACATGATTCCCTTTGGTAATGCAACATAGCTATGGACAATCACCCATTTGTACAAAAGTTGCCCATTAAACCTGGTGGTTTTCCATCTTAGCGGATGATTTCTCCATGAAATCAAGCCTCTGAGAGGGCTAGTACAATCCAGACTCTGTTGTTTTGAGTCCTTTTTTCGTAAACGGCATTGCCATGGTGGCGATGCCCCACATTCCATTGAATTCCATTGAAGTTTTTTCGGGACTTCACCAAGTGGAACATCTCCCAGCAACTCGCGACAAACCAAGGTGCGTGAAGTATGCGGATTTTCAGCATCAAGCTGAGATCAACAGGCGATGGGATGCGATGGCGATCTATTTTTAGTCCCGCGGTCCCATTCGAAAGCATGCTAGTGACGCTTCAATAGATTCAATAGTGACTCTTTGTATCTCTTAGTGATCAAAATAGCAATGAAATGGATGGTCATGTTGATTCATGTCCCCAAACTTTTGAGTTTTTGGATGCTTTTGAATGCTTTTGAATGCTTTTGAATGCTTTCGATCCCCAAATATTTGGATCATGATTTTGCCACTGAAAACCGCCTTTTGCACGATTGGCATTGGGGTTTCACCATCGATTTGATGGTCTGAAATCAGTTTTGGGATGCATGGACACATGATTATCAATGATCAATAATCCCAAAAAAATGGATTATGAATACTCCCATGACTGTTTTATCATTTCACCGATGGATTCTCAATTGAATCCGAACCAGATGATTTCGGTGGACTCTGCATTTTTTGTTCACGACCTCAGCTGAACCATTTGGGAAGATGTAGCGCCGCAATTCGAAACACGAAACGTGGATTTGGCATAGAGGTAGAGCATGGTAGCACCGAAAAAATATGCCAAAAGTGGGCTGCCAACTATTTTCAAACATCATGTAGTTTGTTCACCTCTTCGTATTTTAAGATGTTCTCTATTGTATTTGGCTTTTCCGCACATTCCACATAGCACCAACAAAGCGTGATGGTTTGGCCCATACCTCCAATATCTCCTTAGCCATCCTTCTCACGTCTTGTCGTCCGATTGCGTGGATCAACTAAACCAGCTGGATGCTTGCAATCGGCTTAAAAGTATATATCCATTAAATGCATAGATCATGATTGTAGAATCATTACTCATGAGGACAGAATGGCTACTGCTCTAGTGTCATGGGTCATGGTTTACACTCCGGGTCAGCTTTATGTGGGGTTTCTCTTATTTAGTCACAACTATTTTTTCAATTCGAGAGCTGCCAGTTTGGCCAGTGCCATTACTCATTTCATTTGAAAGTTGAAACCCATTTCCTGCCAGTAAAAAGTGCTACACCAACACCGGTCAAAGACTCAGATTCCTTGGAAAACGGTTGGCCGCCAGATGAACGGAACATTTCTGGGTCAAGGATGGTTAAGGATGGTCAAGGTCCAAAATGTTTGTGAACACCATAGCTACAACCATAGCTACAACCATATATTTTTTAATATATGTTTCAACATCATGAATATATATATATATATATAATTATATATATACAGTATTTTTACGTGTGTGTGTTCTGTTCTTCTTTTCCTTCCCGGAAACGTGGAATCCATAGATTCAGGACACAATGAAGCGACGTCTAATCAGAGGATATCAGAAGCTTTTGAGCGTTTGGTGGAGGGATTTAATATGATTCAATGTTCTGCGTAATCTGGAGATGTACCAAATGTCACAAAACAATTCTTCTCTATTGCATCCTAGTGACTTTTCACCAGATTCTGAGTACAAAGGGGAGAGATGTTTGAAAACTGTCTGCAGGGTTCGGTTCTCAAGCATGTAAGTAGGTCCAAAAAGATGAGGTTGATATCTTTTGCATGATTCATGCCCAGAGTGCCATAATCTATCATTAAAAAGGGCAGGGTGGCCCGTCAGAAGTTCATTTCTCTGATTGGTATCGATTTGTTGGTCCAATTGGTGTCAGTGTCATTGGCAATCCGTGACAACAACTGTAAATGATTCATTCCCATAGGATCCATGGTGCTGCTATATATGGTAACATGGATCCCATCAATATACCCCCTTTACGTTAGCATATATACCAGCACCATGGATCCTATGGGATTGCAAGCTTCAGATGTTGGAATGTATCTACCCCATATATAGGATCCTAACGGTGCTGCTAGAAAAATGGTGTGCCATGGATCCCATATCCCTTTATGTTAGTATATATACCAGCACCATGGATCCGTCATGGGTACATGACTTGAGTGGCTTGGTTCCAGAATTCGATTCGTTGAATCAGTGGGGTCCCAAGATTTGAACTTAAGTGAAATTGTGACCTGTACGAATTGTACGAATAGCATATGTTACCTTCAATATCATGATATAGATCATGGTTTATTCTGATATTATGATCATACTCATGGAAATGGTTCTCATTGATATATCGTGGTTTATAAACCAACTATTAATTCATATATCGTCCATATATCGTCCATATATCGTCCATATATCGTCCACCATGTGTGTAAAACAAATGCACATTTGATGAAGCATGGTTCAGCCGGCCTAATATTCCGCCCCCTATCTTGGAAGGTTCAAAGCATTTCAATGCCTCCTGGGTCGAGGTGTTTCCTGCCGCTGGTCCGACTGCGATCGAAAGATGGGCACTTGGGCTGCAGAAGTTCCCTGCAGCTCGAAATTGGATACCCCCAAACCCCCCGCGGTCTAAGCGATTTTTGTCCAAAAGACAACCTTTTGGATATTCCAGTTTTCTCCATTTTGAGACAAGGCCACATGATTTCCGGATATTTCCGGAATTTTCTCTTTGGTTTTCTGCAACTCAAGCCGGGCTGGGGTCCTGTACGAGAGACCATGATGGATGGATGGTTTTGTCCAAACAAAATGATGACTTGTGTACATTTTGTGGGTACTCGGTTGGCTCCTCTCCACATAGTTACAAAAGGATGTGCGCTCTAAGTGGTTTCACGTAGCCACAGAACATCACAATGTTCTTATCATACTTATCCGTAAATCATCATAAATCATCTATCAAATAAACAATTGTAGCCATTTTTCATAGCTATGTTAAATAACCAGAGGGTGCAATCCACTTCACCATTTATGAACTTCAAGGATGGTGCAAAGTCAGAGTTTGTTTCACAGATGATGATGGTTTTCGCCGTGAGCCTCGATGTTTCTATGTGTCACACGGAGACAGCCATCGTCCCCAGTTGCGAAAATGAGGGAAATGCGGATGAAGCTTTAGATGTTCATGGATGTTCCCTGAAATAGCCGTACTTTTTCTTGAAATAAGCAATCCATGTCGCCATAGGCGGAAAAAACATGTGTTGGTTCCCGGTCACTTCGTCCATCTCAGCCGCTTTGATGTGTCAACTTGGACCCAGAGGGTGAAAAAAAAATCTAGGATACCAGAATAACTCACCAACGGATAATACCAATAATACCAAAATAATTAACCTCACAAAATATCACAAAATCATTGACCAAACATTGTTTATATAGGGATGTGTCGGTCCATAGCCTGGCTTCAGGTAGCACCATGTGCGACAGCCTGACTGGAGGGAAAGGAACCTACAAATGCCTTTGCAAGAAGCACTATTGCCACCTGGCATGGACGGCTCATATGTTAAAATTGCTCTGGGATAGTGTGGGTATTGGAGCTGATTGGGCCTTAGAGTGTTTTTTTCGTCATGCAATGAGGCATTGCGGGATCGTGCCGTTAAAACTGGTAGAGCTGAGGCTGAGACCTTGTGCAATGATCAATGGATGGATGTTGGGTCCCGGCCAACGTTTTTTGTTTTGATCATTGTCAGTATACAGGTTCAATGCCGAAACGAACTGAACGTTACATTGTTTTCTCATGACAGGCGTTTGGTTTTCAAGCGTTCAAAAAACCTGCGACAAATGGGGGCTATGACATGCTGTGATTTGGGGTTACACCTTATCCTGCCCCAATAACGAACCCTGAATCCTGAAGTTCATCAGGGTTGTTTTTTGTGAACCTCACCTTGGCACAGTTGGTGGAGATATGATCTCCAGTATACCATTTGGTAATCATAGCTATGGACATCCACCTTTTTGTTAGAGAGAGGGACGCCAGCAGGTCCCCCAAATTGTGTGGTTTCGAGCATGTTTTTGAGTACTTTATGTGTTATGTATTGTTATTTCATCTAACCTATAGGATCCATTTATGCTATATATATATCTATATATGGTAACATTTACCATCAATATACCCCCAATGTTAGCATATATTTATACCAGCACCATGGATCCGTCATGGGTAATGGAGTGTGCAATCGATTCTATACTTCGTTGCTAGATATATATAACTTGTGTTAACAACACCATGATCCCTGGAGATTCCCAGAGATCCCCAGACATTCCCGTAGATCCCTGGAGATTCCTAGAAATCCCCGGAGATCCACAGAAATTAGGAAAGGGAAGGAGAATAAAAAAGATGAAAGAATACTAAATCTAATACATAGCTCCCAGAGGGTCTCAAAAAACGAAAAACAAAGTCCTCAAACTCCTCTCCAGAGCTCCAAAGTCCTCAAAATCCTTATTTGGAGCCTTCCGGTGCCTTGAAATCTTGATTTGGAACCTCTCCGAGGCTTTAATATATCTATTTGGAGGTTCCCCGAGCTTCAAAACCTTCATTTGGAACTTTTCGGAGCTTGAACATCCTTGTTTATATCTTATTTGGATTCTTCCATAGCTTCAAACTCTTTATATAGTTGAAAGTTTTCGGAGCTTCGAATCTTCAGTTGAATAGATGCAGCTTCATTTGGCTCCATTCTTGGCGTGGCTGCAATGCGCTCATCAAGTTGTTCTTTTAATTTCAACCTTTTTGATGATCATTCCAATCATCATGTTTATCCGTTATGGTGCCGTCAGAAGGGGATTTGCCTTAGCAAAGAAATTTAGGTTTGCTATCTTTTGAAAGCTGTGGAGTCTCATAGATTGTTAGAGGGATGCTCCGATGGAAATTCATAAGAATGTGAGTATGTCTCAGATCCCCTTCAAAGAAATATGTAATATTTGTAAGGAGATATGAATTCATGTGAAACATCACCATCTAGATAGCATGATACCTTCACTTTGTATTCCTAGGAAGTTATGAGCGCATTTAATGGTTACTTGGGAATGCATATTCACAATTCACTGTATTTCTACAAACGTGGAAAACGGTGGACCTCACGCGTGCCTTTCTGTTTTTTTTTTTTTTATGGGTACTGTAAATCATGCTAAATCAATGTAAGAGCGGACCATGTTCCATAGCTATGTTAGTTTGCCGGAGGGTGGGAATAGTTGGGAGATGTGTTTTGAACGGGATGTATTTAAAGTATTTAGCACATTTTAACACTTTAACATCATCCCAGAAGTCCCAAATGCTGAGGTTGGGATTCGGTGAAAAAGCACTGCATGAGACAGTGAGCGCAGTGAGCGCGCTTCCGACCTGGTCACTGGCCTCACAACTTCCCGAACGGCAGATGAATGGCTCAGATGGACTTGCGGCATGTGTATTTTTGTTTAGCAATTGCACCTGGTAGTTGAGGTTGATAGGTTGGTGGATGGTTCAACCTGATGTTCATCATGTTCCCTATGAACAAATGCTATAGCAGTGGGGTATGTTCAAGAGTTGGAATATCAATGGACCCACCAAGTTCATCCAGATAGCGGCCAATGTGGCAATGTTCATTTGCCGACGAAGTACCGCATGTTTGGTACTTGTTTTTCCAAGTATAAACTACTTCTGAAACTACTATAAGGTCTGACATTTCTACTTGATACTGAGTGGTTTTTCAGTCCAACTTCTTGAACCCAGCCGTTGCGCAACACGGCAGTCCATCGCTGAAACGAACAACGTGGCGCCTCTTCGGGAGGGCCGGTCGGTGGGATCAGGACGGTACCGGTCGATCCGGTAGTCTTTAAAGTATACGTATAGCCCGTAGAGCCTATAGCAATTAAGTCATGCGGGATGTCTCTTTTTGGCAACTCAAAGAATTTCCGTGGAAATGCCGTGGAATATGTATGGAGATGTGTGAATATTTGATTGAATATGTATATTTCTCACCTGTTACAGTGTGCCATGACTCAAACGAACATGGCCACGGGGAAATCTTGAATAGCCAAATCATCCAATGATTGTTTGAGGATGTTCCACACAAGTCAGAGGGGATTCGATGTCACTGGCAGGAAAGCATCCATGGATGTACCGCAAAATAGTTCGTTTGATATCCACAAATGGCATGCACAGATACATGTGTTTTATGTGTATAATTGTGTACAATGTATATTGATTATATGTATATGGATAAATTACAACAACGACCTCACTGCGACGTCACTGGAATGACGGTTAGTAGGGGTAACTATCCCAACAATTTCTTAATTTCAAGTATTCAAGTTTTTTGGATATTATGATTTATCCAGATGTATGTATATGTAGACATGTAATGACATATATATATACAGATATCGTACATATTTCCACATACACAGAATGCATCATGCATTTTTGCTGAGACATCCAGCCCCGCATAGGGCCGCCCTCGCTGCAGATGCAAAGCCATCCGTGGTGATCGGGTGCGGTGAGCCTCGGTGTGCTCGCAACGACGATGCGGCTGAGGCGGTACAAAATGTGCCGCGAACCGAAGGGCTGAGCTTGGTTTGAAGCTGGCATTGTTGTGGGTTTGGTGAAGATTTCAGATGATTTCAGTGGCCATTTCGGAAGAACCTCAGCAACACATGGTTTTGGTTCATCGTCATTTCGGATCAAATGGCCATTTCACGATATGTGACATCCAAGAGAAGACAGTCGGTCATGTCTTTCCACATGACAGCCACAGGTGTGCCATTGGGACGCTGATGTCGTAGAAATCGGGAGCTTGCCATTTTTTTGTAAATGGAATTGGCATCTAAATGGATATACTATGATATACTCGATGTTCTGAACCTGGGGCCTCTTGAGGCCTCAGAGCCCAGTTTTGCCACTCCAGGATAGTCGATGATAGTCGATTCTTGTATTTGAGAAGATCGTCATGAGGATCCAATACCCTCTGGTAATTTAACATATAGCTATTGAAAATAGCCATTTATAGTGGATTTTCCCATTGAAAATGGTGATTTTCAATACCAATACTGTAGCTGGACCGTGGATCCACCAAAATGCGGACCGAACGTGCGGACCGAACGTGCGGATGGATGTTCGGATGGACGTTCGTGGGGATTCCCATAGAACAGGAACATCCCCAATATATACGGCAGTATAACCCTCTGAACTAATCATAAATATCATAAATCAACTTTTGGATTTGTTGAAACTACTCAAAAGCATTCTGTCTAGATGATCTCCACATCGTTTTTTTATGTTTGGACTGGCTTAAACCTCTGGAAAACTAACATAACTATGGAAAATCACCATTTTCAATGGGTAAATCCACTATAATTAAATGGTCATTTTCAATAGCTATGTTAGTCATTACCAGAGGGTAAACCTCAATTTTTCTCCTGGTTTTCACATCCAGTTACCTAGATCTGGAAGTGCCATTTTGCTGTTGCCAGCCAAGTACCAGGCCCCGTCGACCTCGGTACGAGGTCAGCGGGAGCGGAAACCGCATGGGAGATCCTGGATTCCAGGGTGGCTCTAAGAATCTTTGGGTAACCAGATGTAACCAGCAACAGCCTCTGGCAGTTGGGGTGAACTGCCATTTTTTATTTTTTCGGATGATCCGGAGAAAGACAAGAGCTGGGCCCGTGATAGGTTGAAACCACCAACAAGGTCTGAATTAATTACGAAGGGGCTTATATAAACAGTACATCACTGAAATATAGTTGCATTTACAGAATTGCACAACACACCATAGTGCTTAAATCTTCTTACCCATATACAACCAATAAGGGAGATTACACTCAAGCCATTGACTATTATTGACTATCAATAGATTGGGATTCACATAGCATCCAAGTGCTTTTTTCATTATTTCCATCCAAACAGAGATGTGGAGTTTGCATGCGTTTGCCAGGAGAGTCAAAAGGGTAGCGATGCAGGCGCATGGTTGAGAGCTGGTTGTGGGTTGATGCTTATTTTACCATGAGAACTTTGAATATGACCTATATAGCAACCCTCCAAAAAGACTGACAACAAATAGTTAATCCTGCCGGAAAAAGGGAAAGCTGTTTTTTGTTTGCTTTTTGGGGTGTTTCTGTATCTAAATGAGTCCCCTATATATATATATCCTATTGATTCCTATTGTCTCCCCAATGTCATGATTGGCCATTGGAAATATGCACGTTGGAATATATATATATATAATTATAAGTTAATTATATGAATATATCACATATTATATATATATATACACATCCGTAACATATATTATATACATAAATTTTAGATATATAGCACATATATGTACAGGAGCATTAGTAGATATGAGTTTTTGTTTAATGGGGGACACCAAGTTGTCATCCAAGCAAAGGTGAGAAAAGGTATGGCAGTCCTTGTGGTGCTACCTTACCACTTGCAGTGAACATGAATCAAGTCAATGAAAGTTTCAGGACCCTAAAATGGAGGTACCGTGCCATAATAGTGGGGGAATTCCCTTACATAGACTTTACATAGATCAGTAGCTCTGATTCTTAGGTACCTGAAATATTCCCTGAAAACATCGGCGCAACGATGCCGGAAAACCTGGCATCCTGAAACAGGCCGGCGCAAACGTTCGATCGTGAGGCTATTTTGAATTCAGATCGAGGTTATCGATTCGTGTCCCGGTGGTGGGTTTTTCAAATCGGAGGCTATCTCATCAGATGTAGCCTCTGGTAATCAAGTATGGCGATTGAACATCCTGTTCTATGGAAATATATGGAAATGGTATGAAATGATGGAGGGTTGATAGTCACGGTTCACAGGGGAACAAATGCATGAGCCTCGGACATAGAACGTGTTTATATATATATACATATATAATTATATTATATATATATACTGTTGTGTTTGCAGTTGTTGTGGTGAAAATTGTAGTGAAGCTTGTAGTTGTTGTTCACACTTGATGCCCTCCACTAGGCTTATTCTATGTCAATATATGTCAATCGAAAAACATGGCGAATGTTGTGGAGATACGTGCCACGTTACAGTATTTTCATATATGCAAACACCAGGAACATGGGTCCTTCTTTCACCATCAAACACAGCCTGTGTTTGGGCTGGGCCCACCATCAGGATCCAGGAAATTGCCGTGCGGCTCGGCTCGAATGTTTTTTTTTCGTGGACGGCTAGCAGCCCGGCTGCGGCTTGAAGGGCTCCTGAAATCAGTCGCACGAGTGCCAGGCTCATCTCCTTGGCGAAAGGGCCATCTTTTATGATCAAAACCGTGTCCATGAGGTTTAGACGTTAAACATCGTTAAACCATAACCCATGACGGATCCATGGTGCTTGTATATATGCTAACATAAAGGGGGTATATTGATGGTAAACGTTCCCATGTGTAGCATACATGGATCCTATGGGTAATGTTCACCATTGTCCAGCAACCCAATCTTTGATGGCGCCCTGTAGATCGCCGGTCTGCTTGATGTTCCACGACTGTAAGATGGCACTTAAACACCCGAAGGGTGCTCCATAAGTTGACTCCTGGACAGCCTGGACAGCTGGGAATCCATGAAATTTTGAGCCATGAAAGTTATAGCCTGGTTAGTGAATTTCTTGGGATTTATACTCGGTTATGTATACTTATATATACTACATATATTTTTCTTGGGGAGTATGACATCCCAAGGGATTTCTATCCACCAACTAGTATAATGAGATGGGATAGGATGTTTTCAATGGCTCAATTGAGCCTTGGCTGCGAAAAAATTCCTCTTGGTCGATGATTATTTCAGGGGTCATACTACCCAATGTATATAATTGTATAATATACAGTACATATTAATCTATTGAATAAATCACTAGTGATATAAAAATATCACCCATGACGGATCCATGGTGCTGCTATATATGGTGTGCCATGGATCCCATCAATATACCCCCTTTATGTTAGAATCAATATACCAGCACCATGGATCATGGATCCGTCATGGGTCATGAATCACGGATTTTGCCATGGGGATTTCACCCTGGGAAGCGACCAGTTGGTGACGCAAGCATCCATGTATGCTAACATAAAGGGGGTATATTGATGGGATCCATGGCACGCCATATATAATGGATCCGTAATGGGTTATGGAAATGTGCATTTCATGAACATATGGAAACCAACATTGTTCATGGAAATTGTCATTCATGTTGGCTCTCAAGTAGCCAACAGTCATGAATTGTTATGGAAAAATCCACATCAATATCATCAATCACCAATCCATCAGGCCAGGGGTCAACGACGCAGGCCAACGCGTTGTCTCACCCGGATTTTCGCCGGTCACCGGGTGAACCCCGGTGAAGCTGGTATGTTCGGTGCCTGTGCTGCGGTCAGCAGTGCTGGTTAGAGTGCATAGAAGAGCGAAAAAGGGAAAAACAGGTGTGGATTTTGATGGTTTAGAAATCATACGGTAAATCGCCATTTTTGATAGGTAAATCATGTTTATCATCGATGGGCCATGGCTTCCATAGCAAATTGTTGAATCACCAGAGGATAGATTCTCCACGTAAATCAAGGACAATGTTCAGAGACCTTGCTCTAGGTTTGTTGGAAGTTTGGAGGAAACCAGTCTTGTTTATTGTTGTTTTATGTAAGGGTCCAAGAGCAAATCTAAGTTGTTGGGGATTAGGAACAAGTCATCAATAGTCATCGCATGTCATCGCAATTTTACCCAGTTGCTGACAGTATTTGTTCAGGATTTTTGTGATTATCCAGGTAGTGCGGGTGGCCAGTCACTGGGGCTTACAATTGCCAACATTGCCGGACCCCATGGCACGTGGTTGGAACCCAGGGGTCAACCTTAATGCCCGTAGGAAATCAAGCACATGTACCCATAGGATCCATGTATGGTATAGATATATATATATATACATACACCAACATTGGGGGTATATTGATGGTAAATGTTACCATATATAGCAGCACCCTGGATCCGTCATGGGGTAGGAATGACTGCTGACATGATTAAATATTACTGACATGCGGACTGGCTGAATTTAAAGATTGACCGACGGAATGATTAAATGATTGATCACTGAATGCGTGACAGAGCTACCTAGTGACTGAATGACTCAATGCCAAATGACTAACTGAATAGGAGACGAAGTGACGAAGTAGGACCATTTTGGAGGATTGACTCTGTGCGACTCACTGAATGACTGGCTGACCTACTGAAAAGTCGAAAAGGAAGTGAGTAGCCACTACAATGTGCTTAGCAACTCTCCCGGGGAAGATTCACAATGCATTTTGATTTGGGATGCACCCTGCAGTGCTTGAAAAAGTGTAATGATTTATGGTCACCAAACCATTAATAGGGATTTATCAACGAAAACGTGGGGCAGAGGCGTCAATGTTGACAACGCAGGGGAGGCAAGAAAACTGTTTACACAAAGCCTTGATGTCAACCCCGGCCTAGACAATCCTGACTATTGATAGGGTAGATACCCCAAAAAAGTGGTTAAATTAATATTATGATATACTGGTTGGTGGTTTCAAATTATTTTTTATTTTCCATTTCATACATGGGATGTCATCCTTCCCATTGACTAACATTTTTCAGAGAGGTTGAAACCACCAACCAGGATCTATTATGTAAAAATGGTTCCCCCTATCAACAAAGTCGTTGTTGATCTAGGTGAACCTTTCTCATCCACCTGGTGAAGAGTTGCAAGTCAGTCAAGAGACCGCTGCCACCTTTTTTGCATAGCATATCATCATATCCATTCATATCCTACATTCATGACATGGGAATGATTTGTCTCGATCAAATTTGATTAAATGAATGTATTTTGGTGTTGCTGTGTTTGCTTTTACAGAAATGGACGCGTCGCTGATCGTTCTGAACATGTTATTTCAGAAGCAATTGTGCAGGACATGGTGGGACATGGTGCGCAATTTTTGGTTGCCCGATTTTCCATGGTGCCCGATGCGATCTTCACAACGCAGTCGGAAGGAACGGGGGCCTTAGATGGTAAATCCCCATCAATTACTAAAATGGTCGTCTTAGGTGGTGATTAAAGATTGTGAATTCACCATCAAAAATAAGGATTTGCCCAACAACAATGGTGAAAAAGAGGGATATCATGGGCGTATGGGGATGTGATGAAGACAAATCTGGATGAAGTTGATTATGACCTCACGTCGTGACCGAACCCTGGAATGATGGTGAATGTTTTTCGGCATCATCCACGTAGCCCAAATTGGGATGGTCAGCCGGTGACTTTCTGCCGGAACCCATGCGATATGTTGTTTTTCCAAGGGATATGAGAAACGCAGCATGTGAAAAGCAGAAAGAATGTTCAAGTTGGAGCAATTGTATGCAACTGCATATCTTGGAGAAATGATGCTAAAGCATGTCATGTTACCTTCTTTTGGACAATTTCATAGCATAGTGTTGCTTCTATATCCAATTACATTCCACTGTATGGCAATAAAATGGTTGGTTCCATAATTCAATCGTCAATTTTGTGTCATAGTATATCTATACACACATATTTTATGTAGTAATTATACATAATATATACATAAATTCATAATATACATATACATATATGCTATATACATTCATTTGCATATGTTAGTACAGTATGTCTTGATAGACACAGATAAATTTGGAAATTCGAGAGTTGCACGTTGGCCGCAAGGGACCGACCTTTTGAGTGTCTGGAAATTCGAAATTGGGAACCAAAGACAAAGATAGAAAGTTGGATAAATAGATGGATAGGTAAATAGATAGCTAGTACTGAATAAGTGGTTAACCTGGGGTTATCGCATATATAGGTTGTAAAATGTTATAAATATGGGGGTTTCCAGAGGGGTTTCCTAAAGTAAGGTATCCCCAAATCATCCATATTTAATAGGATTTTCCATAGGTTATCCCTATGAAACCATCCAGGCCTGGCGTCTGGGCGGTCGATGCGGTCGCCGTACGGTGGCACTGGCTCTCCTGCTTGGCTGGCTACGCGACTTGGCTACTCATCGGTTTAAGGTGGACTTCGGATGGATTTATGTCTTGGGTATAATATGTGGATATACCCTCTGGTTATGACTAACATAACCATGGTATAGATGGCCTATAGAAATAGATGATTTTCCCAGCTAGACACCTCCATTTATTTTGGGGATTTTCCATGGCTATGTTAAATAACCAGATGGTAAATTAGGAAGATATGAGCGATTCATTGTGGATATTTGGAGATATGTATAATATATATAATATATAATTAGTGATTGAACATAACGATCACCATCGATTAATGATGAATTTTCACCACTACATGATGGAAGATCCATATTTAAGCCGCAATTAGTGGAATTAATTATGAACTTATCTCATTTCAGGCTTTGTTTGAACATATTGCGAAGTGGTTCAAGGGTGATGTGTTTCAGCAGGATGCAAGCAAGGCCAGCAAGGCGTCCAGTCAGATTGAGATTTCAGCAGCAAGTTACTTGGGAGTTTTTTGAAGCCAAAATGGTGATGAAATCGAGCAAGAACTGGGACAAACCGGGAAGTGTGTTTTTTCATGATGAAAAGCAGTGATTCACCAGCATTTTACAGAACCTGGGTTTTGCTCAACTCCTGGGCACCACTGACAGTGTCCTTCCCAGTCTTCAGTTGTTACATTATCTCTGATGACCTCATATTAGACCAAACAGATGGTTAAAACCCTACTGTATGAATAATGGGATGTTTACCACCAAGAAAAGTGGTGATTCGGATTTCGCTGGCCCATCCACCGTATGATCTAATATGTACAGTGCTAATGTATTTTTTCTTTGTAGGTCAATCAGAATGTAAGTGAGGGTTATTGCAACAGAAATCCCCCTTGCAAAAGTCTACTGTATCACAGCTGTGATATGTTTCCGTTTCTTTCGTAAGGTGGTATGACTTGTCAATGTTTTGCCACCGATTGTCGGTTAAAAAACAAGTTGTGTTATTTAACATTCCCAATAGTTACTGTAAGCGATATAACATCCAGCAGTTTCGTTACTCAGCATATATATATATAATTATATATATATACAAATATTACACATTGTATTTGTATCACCATAGTTACAGGGGTTATATCCCAACTGCACCCACAACTACTACACTTTGACCTGTCCCTGGTGCTTCCTGTTGTCCACTGCCTACCCTATCACCCACAGGCGCTGAGCGAAGCAGAAGTTTCTTCGGCCCAGCGCAAGATCCGGGTAGGAGTGGCTGGATGTGGACAAGCGGCTATTGGATATTATTGTTTGGGAACCCTGAACGAATATACAGATAGATGTTCAACATATATATATATATATACACGTATATATCTAATTATATATATATACATAAACATATGATATAATATAATATATACATACAGAGAGAAGATGACGAGGATGCGGATGAGACATGATGATACTGAAAATGGCGAAGATTGCGGGGAGAATGATCATGATGATGATGATGATGATGATGGTGACATTTGGCTCGCTGGGACTGCAGGAGAGAGCTCAGACGTGAATATAGTGGTCGCGGCATCGACAGGCACTGAGATTTCATGGTGGGCTGTTTGGTGTTGTTGGCGTTTTTTCTCTCTATCCTTACACTGCGGGGCCTTGGAATTATTGGATGTTTATTTAAAACCCACATCCAAGAATTTGATATTCTAAGACATTAAAGGTAGAGACAAGAGATATATATATATATACACACACGTATATAGAAACCAACTTGCCTGTCCAGATTCAGAAGCGCACACCCTGTACAGTAGTGCATTGAAACGATTACTTGCGCATCTATGATCAGAGGCGGCAATCATTGTTTGATGATTTTAGTTGGAAAGTATTTTTATAGGCGGGATGTGTTCATGCAATCTCGTGACTTGGCCGTGGAAACTATCAAATGCATGTTGTAAATTGATGTAAATTGATATACCTTCTGATTTATCTAACACAGCTATGGAACATGGCCCATTTATAGATGATTTGCAATGATTTACCAATATTACAAGTGGCGATGTTACATAGCTATGTTAAATCCATAGATGGTAAATTGAACGTCTTCATGTGCTCTACATGTATGATTTTTTTTTATGTGACGACTCCATCATGCATTCAGCGCTGATGGTTGCAGTGTTCGAGATGATCAATCCCATCCCACAATTTTAAATACGCCCCATATGGCCCCAAAATGAATATATCCAATACATCTAGCATTTTTTGATTAGGGAGGACATTTCATCTTAGGGGGAAGGGAGTGCTGTAAATCACAATTTTTATACTAAATACCGTCATAGAATTAATCATAGAGCAGCAAAAATGACCAAACATCATAAACATCAACATAAATCATTACACATATAATTCATATAATCATGAAATCATCAAAAATCACCAAAAATTACCAAACATCAACATAAAAATCACCGTAAATCACCACAAATCATTTGCCGTTGGAGGTTGGTCTTGCCACTCTCTTGTGGTGGTAACCTCTTTGTTCGCGGCCACGCGGCGTCTGAACAGCAGGCGGCCGATCAGCGGAGCCAGCTGGTGAAGTAATTATTCGTAACATGCATGTTATTGAATAAATATATTCCAATATATGGAATCTACAGATGAACTATGGAATTATTTAATTCCTGTATACATTCCAATATACAGTAACTTATATATTGATTTAATCTGTATAATATATATATATATACATACGCGGTATATTTAGATTTTCACACATGACTGGGGGTTGTCATCGTTTACCCCCTATATAATCGAAAATTTTGTGTGACGTGCTGGTTGGCCATCCAATATCGTGGTTCATACTGGGATACCCCCAAGGCCCAACATATGTTGCTTGCGACATATCCATGGCTTGTTGCAAAGCAAAATCTTCAAATTGGTTTTAGTCCTTTGGTAATCTTCAAATTGACCATGTTTGGTTTTGGTCCTTACATTTCTTCAATTTCTCCATATTTCACGTCGAGTTGAGTTCAAATCCCTCACCGTCTCCATGACAAAGGAAATCCACCATTTAGATTTTTAGTTCGATGATTTTCCCAGCCATAAAAATTTTATTTAGTTTGGGTTTTTCCTTGCTAGCCACGTTTGATTGCCGCGGAGTACTTACTTGGGTCAACCACCATTTAGGCAGGAATTTTCACAGTTATATAAGAGTTGAATCACAACTTATTCAAACAATAATAGTAATAATAATAGGGTTGAAATTTATTTGGACATTTGAGTCATTGTAGAAGATTCTAGGGAAATCATTCAGAATTGTCAAAAATATAACATGTTTTTACTGTTAATCATCACCCCATGCCCTCCATGGCTGCCATGGACCCCTGCAAGGTGCCTGACGGCTGGCCCTTGGGCAGCTTCCAGGAGTGGCGCAGCTTGATCTTTGAGCCAAGCGCCGAGCAGGCGCGCTTGGAAGCAACCATGTTGGGGCTAAATCAGGATTATCATGGGAGATGAATGGGAAAAATGGAGGTTTAATATGGTTTAACATATTTTAATATAATATAGGATATGTCAATGGTTAATAATGGTTAATCGTGGTTAATAATGGGAGAATATATTTGGTTGGTGGTTTGGAACATGGCTTTTATGACTTTCCATATATTGGGAAGTTCATCATCTCAACTGACGAACTCATATTTTTCAGAGGGGTAGGTATACCACCAACCAGGGATAAATCAGGAGATTATGACGATTTTGGGAGCTGTAAATCAGGATTATCATGGAGATAACTTCGTTAAAATATCTTGAAATCTCCCCCTTACCCTCTGGTAAACTAACATGACTATGGAAAATGGCCATTTATAGTGAGTTTTCCCATTGAAAATGGTGATTTTCCATAGCTATGTTAGTTTACCAGAGGGTACACCTCGGAATTTTCGGGCCAGGACGCTGGACCGCCTTTCATTCAGTCCATCTCCAAGGTGTCGATTTTGATCTGCGGGCCACTGAAACCCGGGCCCCCAACAAGGACAATTGTCTATCATTATTATTGTTTGTTTTAACTAGGTTTTTTTCTCACGTTATCGCTACTTACTTCTGTTTCGTCATTCTTACCATGTTTTTTGACTTTATACATTATATAAATTATAATGCCGTGTTTTGTTCCAAACTATCATGTGTTCCTTTTCTTATGTGTCGTTATTATATTATTATTATTACTGCTTCTTAGTTTCCTTATTTTTGTCATTATTGTTGTTTGTTGTCCTTTTTTGATGTCATGACGGGGTGTTGTAATTGTTGTTACTATTATTTCATTATTATGTAATTTTATGTTCATATTGTTTCATCATTGTCATTGTTGTCTTTTTGAGAATAATAATACCATAAAATAATGAATAATATTTCATATGTTTATCATTCTATCATGGGAATATTATTATTATGCCAATATTCTTATGTTTATGATGATATATGTAGAGGCATAATGAACATATTCCTATGAAATGCCAATGAAAATAATATGTTTGTCGCAGGTCACCTGCTGCCCTGATGGTACTTGGCTACCAGAGGCAGACCCTCAGGCGCGATGCCATGGCGCTGACTTGCGTTTGCTGCTTGGTGACTTTATAGCACTCACCCCCAAAATAATAAGAAGAGTAAAAACCCACTAAGCATGAGAGTAGGTTATGATTGATATACTTATATATATATGCACATAACTATATACATATCACTTATATATATATATATATGTGTGTGTCAGAAAGCATAAAAATTATCAAACACTAGATTCTATGTTAGAGTTGGTTGGCAGATTCTTTGCCCGAATATATGTCAGTAGATGTACCAGAGGTATGTCAGAAAATATATTAGGATAAATGGCAGAAGAGTGTATATCAGGTAAGTGTAGGTAAGTATCAACATATGTTGCAGGATTTCTGGTTGTATTACGGTTGGGGTCGTACGAAATAGAGTAATTCGATTGAATTGTATAAACATTCTAGTAGCCCCAAAAAACGTAGAAAAAATAAAATCATACTGAAATAGTGATAAATATCGTTTCTGTCTTTTGGGGATTGGTTATACCCTTCAGCAGCGAATGTTACTCTTGTAGTTTAGACCCCAGTGGGCCTGGATGGAGGCGGAGGTGATTTTTTTTGCAGACCAAATCTTTAACCAATATTTAACCAATTTATCTATATGTTGTTTCCTCACCTGATTATCTCACATATATATATACACATATGTTTTCATAATTTTATATGTGTGCATGATATTTTATCTCTGTCTCTCTCTCTCTCTCTATCTCTCTCTCTCTCTCTCTCTCGCTCTTTTTCTCTTTTTCTATTTACTTGTATTTGTTTATTTTGAAAGGTATCCATAAATGTGCGCACACGCATCTGTTCCTACCTATACACTGCACACATCTTTCTTATTGGAGAGAGAGCTATAGCTTTTCCTAGAGATTCCCCGGGCATCAATCTCGATCCACTCGCACAATTTTTTGGCCCCCAGCCATGTTTGCTGGTTTATGAACCCAATGAATATCATAGTTACATCATAATGCAAACCACGGTTATTGGAGTTTTGAACCCCAAACTTGTTAGAGTTATTGTGACACTGTGACTGATTGTCATGAATCAGCTATAAATTTATCAAAATCCCATGACATCCCCCATTTTTCTTGGTTAGATCCGCTTAGCTCAGAAATTTTCAACGGGAGCCCCACGCAGGTCTTAGCCCTGAACTATCCCAAGACCTTAAGCGCCGCCGTGGCCTGCGCTGTGCGCACAATCCAAGCGCCTGAGCCGCGGATCCTGGTCATCGGCCTGGGCGCTTTGGCGGCTTTCAACGTGGCCTTTCTTGGGAAAAAAGCGGATATTAATCTACAGTCTAAATGAAGTTAGATAGATAATTAGTATTTTTCTATATATATATTATATGGCTGTGTCTTTTTTTAACGTGCGCAGATTTTAGTAAAGGCAGGATGTTCGAGTTGTGCGAATCATACCCCCGAATCATACACCAAAAAATCACGATTATGAATGTTTCTTTTGGGATCGTTTGGGATTGCATTGGCCTCACTAGTTTCAATGGACCTGACAAGCTAATTGACCAGTGTTGGCCAGACCCGATGATCCGCGGAGATGGTCGGGGAGTTTTGGTAGCGGAGATTGAATTGGCCGAGCGAATCTGAAGCTCTGCGACCTATGTAATGCAGTCGGCGCCTGGTCTGCACGCAAGCTTGTCGAGTCAACCTGGTACTGCTGCGTTCACTCTGCAGTCTCTCTGAACAACTGCCGCTCGAAGCTGTTTTCTAGCTCTTTCGTCGCTTCTCTCCGTTAGCACCATGGCCATCAGCGTGAAGGGGCGTGTTTCTTTGGCCGGTGGCGCTGCATACTTGGAGCTAGCGCCTTTTGCTCCAGCGCGGCCTGATACACTGAGTCTCCAAAACTAGTAAATTTACTAATTTAGTAAATTTACTAAATTTACTAATTTAGTAAATTTACTAAAAGAGAAGAAATTACATATATGTTTTTGGCTAATTTTGTTGGTGTTAGTAAATTTTGTGAAAAAAAGAAAAAGTGCATCAAAAGTGCATGTTTTTGTGTGTTTTTGTTCGAGCTTTTGTCATTGAAACTTGGAATTTATGACAGAAATGTAATAGTATTTTTCAAGCTTTAGTGAATGTCGTTTTAGTGCACAATGTGACAAGCAGTTTTTTCACAACAAAGATTGAGTTTTGTTATACTCGTATGTTTAATGGATGTGTCCAAGTAAAGCCAGAATCTTTGCAAGTGACCAATCAAGTAAGAACTTTTCATATTAGATTACCAAAAAGTAAAGTCAAAATCCTATAGCAAGTCACTTCGTAAATAAGGCCTGAGTAAATTTAGAGAGCAAGTAAAGTCAAACAAAACATTTGTGTGGCAATTGCAACTTGTCATTCTCTCAAGTAACTAACACAACATTGCAGCGGCCTTTCCTTTCACTGCTTGTGTTTAAAAAATTGCAAATGGCGGTTCTTGAGTGCTGCTACCTGTGCCACTGCCCAATGCTTGTTGGCAGGACTTCCAAAGTCTTTGCACAGCTTTCATCTTGGTTTCACCTTTGAAACACCAGGTGAGGTAAGGATGAATTGCATTTGAAAGTTGCATTGCATGTAAAGAAATGTGTTTTGCTTGTCAAATTGAAAATTTGCAGGTCAGTGCCAGCATGATGGTCCTGTAGTTGTACATGTAGCTGCACCATTGGAAAACATTTTGGAAGGACTTCTGCATGCACATTCTCAGGTAAAGCCAAGTAGCCCATTTTGGGCAAAAAGCAATCCAGCACGTCGCGAACTTCAACATTCAACTGCAAGATGGCTGAAATCTGTAAATGCTGCGGGTTATCAGAATCAAAATGATGGTCCCAACATGCCATTACGGCCTTTTCCAGCCTACGTATGTCAGCTGCGTGCCCTTTCAGCTTAGGAAATCCCTTTGCTTTCTAACGTTAGTAAAAATTAGTCAAAATTTACGTAAATCCACGGTAGTTTGCTAGTAGTAAATCCCAAAATTTACGTAATTTTTTGGCACCTAAATTTATTAGTTTTGGAGACTCAGGGTACCAGGCCCAGGCAATCGCCAGAAGATGTGGTCAACCAAGATCAAGCGGGTGCCATCACTATTCATCCATCAAGACTTCTCCTGTGACCCGGGAAGTCATCAACTCTGCCCTTGCTTCCGTCCAGAAGAAGCTCAAGCTGGCAACAGGGATGAATGGTGAATGGACCCGCGAGGCCGATGAAGTCTTGGCAAAGAACCTTGCTGCAGCTAAACGTGATTCTGGCATGACCGCGCCAAAGCAACAGAAGGAGCTTCTTGCGCTGCGCCCTCACCAGCACCGCTGGCGCTCCCAGCACTGGAGGAAAGCGACAGCGATTCCTCCAGTGAATCGCCGGGTCAAGGAGCAAAACGACTGAAGAATGCATCCTCCAGCTCATCCTCATCATCCTCCTCGTCTTCTTCTACCAGGAAATCGGTACTGCGCCACCGTCTCGGACAGTTGAAAAGGGAGTGCACAGAGTACCTGGGACCTGGGCGCCATCTCTTGCCACCAGGACATCGAAGCTCAAAATGAGGAACTGAAGGCTCTGTGTGATCAGTTAGTGACGGAGAACTGCCAGCTGCGAGCGGCACAGTGTAGCAATCAAGACGACAGCTTGGGATCGCGGTGAAAATGAAAATGCTTGCTTGTTCCTATTTGGGGCTGGGTGAAGTCTTCAGATCCCTAGTTTCATATATGTATACATATTGCCTTGCATCTTACCAACATGTAACCCAAGCTACCATAGTGTCCTTCGTATTTGCTCTTGCGCTCATGTCCTAGCATTGTTTTTTTCCGTCCACCTTGCGTTTGCCCTGTGTCTGGCTCAAATACAATTCCTCCAGATCTGTTCCCAAGACCTGCCTGGCATTAGGGGCATTTGGCCATTGTCATCAACAATGTCTGGTGCGTTGATGGACAAAGCCATCGAAGAGCTGAGTGGCAAACAATGGATCTTGAAATCTTTGGAAAAGCCATTTGTCGGGCATTTGGATAGCTCACGGCCAATCTCTGTGGCCGACTTTGTGGCAGAAGCCTGCCGGCAGTGCTCCAAGGCAGTCAAGTCCATGGACGTCCTACATCCCTCCATGTGGAAACCCTGCAGACCTTCTTCAAAGCTTTGAGTCAGACATGGACAATATTCCGCCAGCGATCAAGTTCAAGGCTGCGCTTCCTGAAACCTCCAAAGTTGATTTCATTTTTGTCACCAAGGCGAATGGCAATGTGGATGTCGTCAAGGTCGTCTATTTGCCTCGTCCTGTCAACTTCCAGATGGCTAGATCCATCTGCAGTGGTGGCGCCTTTGTTCCTGTCCACCGCCCAGGACCTTGGAATGTCAAGAAAGGGGTGCAATGGCTTCTTAGTCAGCTTGGTGGCCATCAATCTTCTAGATATCCGTGATACTACCCAATGCCGCGCTTCTACATCTACTGCTATGCTTTTCCCTCGAGCATCGCAGCAATGAACTGTACAAATTACATATCTGCAATCCCTTCAAATCCTTGCAGCCCTACGAGACGCATTGCCAATTCTCAAAATCAAGCATCGCGATGAACTGTACAAATTACATGTCTGCAATCCCCTCAAATCCTTGCAGCCCTACGACACCCATTGCCAACTCTCAAAAACGTCGGTTTTGGGGGGCTAGCATATATATATATATTTTTCTTTGTTTATATTTATTTATTTGTTTATTTATTTGTTTATTTATTTATTTATATATTTATTTATACATGACATACTTATATATATATATACATATAACAATTAGAATTAGCTGTATATATATATATATATATAGTTCTTTAAACATCTATGAAGCGTGAAGTATATATTTGATTTTTAATTAAATATTGGTGGAATTCATGGATATATTTTATTTCAACGTGGCCTAAGTTTAAATGAAGTGAGACCATCAGATAATCAGTGTATATATATATAATTATATATATAGTTATAGTTTTAGTGTATCTGTATAATGGTTAAAGTAGTCAAACTATGGGGTAGATCACCAGTTGTATGGGTACTTGGAGGGTCTAGGGATATATATATATATATATATAAATATATATATAAATATATATATATATAAATATATATATATATAATATAAATAAATAAGTAAATATATATATGATATGATGTTCATAGTAATGCATATGGAGGTCAGCATTACACCATGGCTTAGTATTGAAACCCATGGTGCCTTGGGGATCCCCCATTTGAAGAAACCTTCGGATATTTATGTTTAACCGAAGTTGGACAATCCGTGTGTATATGTTGATTACACTTATATTGGATATGCTGTAAATCAGTGCGTCGACAGTCTGGCAACTCTCTGTCCACCAGTTGATGCTGTTTCGGGGTTATATTTATCTTTAAACGGATGAATGTTGAGTTTTTGGGATATATTGTTGGTGTTTTTGTTCGATATAACTGATATAACCAACCACCATTGGGATGAAACCAACCACAGCTGGAATTTGACGGAAATATAGCCAACAGGTTGTGGCACCCCTGTTCCCCCATCATAACCAACAATCATTGTTGGTACGCCCTATTTGGCCTGTTTTTGCTCAATCTGATATTTAAAGTGCCCATTGAAATAAACCATTTGGGGGATCTATACGGAATATGGCTTACAACAGAAAAAAACCGAACAATGGAGGCTTGGCCGTTTCAGTTGCCATTCGGCTGAATTTGTCGTTTGTCTTGGCGTGAAACGGTTGAGACTTTTTGACAGACTTCAGCCCCAAACTGTTTCAGACAATTGGTGTTTCACAAGGTTTGAAATGACCATTGTTGCACCTATAGCAATATGGCTATAATTGACGGCCACTAACCAATTCTCACTTACAACTATGTGAAATGGAGGATTGGTATAATATAGTAGATCTGAATGGATAATCTGGCAGATTGACAGCAGTTTGCCAAATCCTTGGGCTCCAAGATTTTTATTGATTGTTATTTTGGAAAGAACCACAGGTGTCTTGAACATATTTTTTTGCCCCTCTTTTGAAAAGGCCTGAATTGTTTTTTTCTAGCAAAAACACGACCTCTTTTCCCAGCCTTGCAACGAGATGTTGTTGGCAGCACGGTGGAACTTGCAAAACCTTCTTCAAACCAAAGGTTTTGGGCATGGGTTTGCTTGTCATGCAGACACTTTCGCTTACCAGTTGCCTTTCCAGATGTGGCCAAAAGGAAACCACAATGAGCAGTCTAGGCTTGAAACCTCCCGGATGGTGTAAGTATCTCCAGGCCTTTCAGGACATTCAGCAGCTGGTGGCAAGGTGTTTTCTGCTTTTCCCGCAGAAACTCCGTCTTGATTTCATGGTTCACCATTTATGATTCTAGCACAGCCACATGACAAGTGCTACATTTTATCCCCAAATTTGTCCAGTTGTGTTGTGATGATGGTAGCATGGTGAGGTCGACAGGATATCTGCCAGATCAACGCAGCAAAATTTGTCACTTTATGACTGTGGTTTGTCTACAATAATGAACTAACCCAAACAAGGAACAATCCCAGTAAGAAGGGGGTCGTTTGACATCCCGAAAAAAAACGAAAAAAACGGGACACACGCGATCTCATTAACCCCAGCGGATGGTTTATTGTTTTGTTCCAAAAGATTGCCCTTCATTTCCCGGATGATCTATTCCACAATTATCCCACTGAATACCCTCTGATAGTCAAACGTGGCCACTGAATGATGTTCCCATTGAAAGTCTTCAATATTTAGTTGGTGGATTTCCATGGATTTCCATGGATTTCCGTAGACAAATTTGGCCGCGGCCATCCACGGCCACGGCGTTCACGGCGATGTTCCGTGCCGAGGTTCCGGCTCGGTGCCGTTGTGGTTGGCAGATCAGTTCCCAAAGAGCCAGGTGGACGTGGTGGAGTTGGAGGTGCGCGCCGAGCGGCGAGGCGAAAAAATTGGGGGTCACGGTGGTGGTGCCCCCGTTAAACGTTTGTTGGTTTATAAACCATGAACGGGCCAACTAGTTTATGGATGTTTCTGGCTGATATAACTATAGTTTATATGACTTATATGGTAGATAACTATATATATATACATAAATAATGGCAGTCAAACTATAATGATTTTGATTAACATTCATGAATGCTACAGTTATATCTACCATAAGCCATAGAATTCATCCACTAAAAAAAGGCAAGTGAACGCTATCGACTGGGGGCTGTACCATGCTCCTGGGCTTCATGGGGGTTTGCATGGTGCTACCCCAATAGCTGGATGGCTTGTAATAGAAAGTCCTGTTAAAATGGATGATTGGAGGATATTAGGGGTACCTCCATTGAAATAAACCTATATATATATAAATTGACCTACATGACTGGGTGTTTTTTTGGAATGGTGATAAATATTTGTTAGAGAATATACCTTATTCTCGCCCCATGACATGCATGTGCATAGTGCTACTTTATGTAGCCCCTTTTGGATCGAAGAGCTGCGAACAAAACGGGTAGCAGCCTTTGAGTGTCTTGGCCCTGTGGGGCCGTCGCATGGTAGCGGAGCTCTGCGTGTGAAACCAGGGTCTCCTAGGTGACAGCGGGTAGCCCCGCGTCACCTGCACCCAGCGGGCAGACCCGCGGGTGCGCCGGTTGCGGGTAGAACCGCACCGGCAGGCGCAACGGCGCGTAAGAAGAACAAGCGCGGGACGCGCAGCAAGGAAAAGCAAGAGAAAAGGATCCAGAAAGGGATCCAGAAGCGCCTCGAAGCGCTTCAAGGGAGGGCAGAAGCCCAATACCCCGAGCTGGTTGGCCAAGCCAGTTCATCAAGGGGATCGGCCAGTGGAGCAACCAGGACAGTGGTGCTCCAGAAAGATCCAAAGAAACAGACTTTGAGATTGGTGGCAAACCCAAACAGACCAAGGAGAAGGAGGTCCAAGCAATCTCAAGGTAGGGAACCACTGAGGTTGAAATCAGCTGCACCCAAGCGCCAAGAGAGGGCTGCCAGGAACCAGGCTGTAAAACAGAGATACAGCCAAGGTCAGTACTTCCTCGGTGAAGGCAGGAAGGAGTGGAAGCAGCGCAGATTCCACGAGCGAAGGAATTTTGTGAAGGCCCTCAGGCCATACATTCCCCAAGGCACAGTAGGGGATTGGGTACTTCGTCAAAACCTTCCACCTGAGTGCTCTTCTTGCGACGAACGTGAGAAGAAACTGAGGCCAGCTGTCTTAGCCTTTGCCGACAAAGTGTCAAGGAGGAGGAGATTTGTGACTGTGGTGCCACAGCGGACTCCTTTGATAGCTCAGTACCACCCTCTCACAAAGAAGAAGGTCAAGCCGTTCCCAAAGGTACCAAACACTGCTGAAGAGGAAGCAGAAGAAGAACCAGTTCCTCCCTTCGACAATGCAGACTTCGGGGGAGATGGAAGCGGGGACGATACCGACAGCTCAGGCCCAGGATCCAATGCAGCAGGTGGTGCAGCAATTGCAGCACACTAACCAGCTTCTCACCCAGATGCAGAACCGCGTGCTCACGCTGGAACAAGAAAGGGCACGGAGGGTAAGCATAGCCACGGACACGGTGGATGAACCTAGGAATTTTGGTTTTGGTTTGGGCCACAACACTCCATTATCCTCACATGGTTCAAGTTTGGTGGATACCAGATCGTTGGGTAAGCCTGAGGTTTTTAAGGGTGATGATGGATCGTTTGCTGATTGGGCATTCATCTTCAAAAGTTATGTTGGTTGTATTGCCCAGGAGTATATTCCAATGTTGGAAAGATGTGAACAAAGTAGGGTACCAGTGGTGAACAGATCCCTAGGACCCAACGAGCAAAGACTTTCAGGGCAGCTCTACTACATCTTGGTGATGTTGTTGAGGGGGCGTGCCCTCGATATAGCCCACAATTGCGGAGTAGGTGAAGGATTTGAAACGTACCGTAGACTGTTTGAACAGTATCACCCGAGAGTTGCCTCCAGATATGTGGGATCACTTTCGTTGATTTTATCAACACGTTTCACCAGTGACATCGAGAGTGAACTTGAATCATTCGACAAAACCATTCGTAGATACGAATCAGAGTCTGGGAAAACCTTGGATGAGGAGATTTTATTGGGAGTTGTTGTGAATGGATTGCAAGATCAATCCATCAGAGATCACATCATCAGAAAATCAGCACGACTTCAAACGTTTCAACAAGTTCGTACCGAGCTTTTGGAGATTGCAAGAACCAACCGGGTCTTGCAACAAATGCCAGCCCCAATGGATATTGGTGCATTACCCAAGCGTAAGGGTAAAGGTGGCAAGAAGGGTGGCAAGGGAGACCAAAAGGGATCAAAAGGTGGCAAACCATCCACCAAAGATGGTAAAAGTAAGGATGGACCCAAAAGCAATCCAAATGCTGATAAAGAATGTTTTTACTGTAAGAAAAAGGGTCATATAAAGGCTGAATGTAGGAAGAAGGCCGCAGATGATAAGCAGAAGGTAAAAGGTAGCGGGAAGAACCGCACCCCAAATGCAGCAGCGCCTTCAGACGAGCCTGAACCAATGACGGCAACCCCGACTCAGGAGACTACGTTCATTGCAGCATCCATTGCAGGACAGCAGGAGGTGTTGGTGGACACGGGGGCCGGGATGCATTTGTTTCAGAAAGGGTTCGATAAGTTTGCCACCAAGTTAAATTCCACTATAACCACTGGGTTAGTTACGGTAACGGGTGAACCATTGGATACAGGCAACATGAAACGAAGCACCATGTCAACTGATGGTGGTGATTTCAACATAGACTATGCAGAGTCTGACAAGGTTGGTTTTTCAGTAATGAGTGCAGGCAAGGCAGCACTCAAAGGAACTTGGACGGTGATTGGTCCAGAGGTCCAATGCCTGATCGTTTCAAAACATGCCAGCCTGATTCAAGAAGCAGTGGAACAATCCGAGAAAATCCAGTTGGTAAAGAAGAGGGGTGTATATTGGCTCCCAGTTTCTGGGTGTAAAAGCCAGCATGCGGGCAGCCCCGCTCAAACCATAGCTGCGCATCCAGCGGGTAGCACCGCGGACCAAGCGGATAGCCCCGCTGGTCAGGCTCAAGCGGGTAGCCCCGCTGGTCAGGCTCAAGCGGGTAGCCCCGCTGAGCAGGGTCAACCAGCCAAAGAACATGGCAGGTTGATGGCAGCAGCAAGGGTGGCAAAGAAAGCCATTCCAGCTGGAGAAGATGATGAAGCACAAGAACCCGTGTGTCCAACAGATGGGCTTGGAAATCCTGTTCCAGTCTTTGAGGACCCACCTCAAGAACTTCCAGCCTTGGGTGAACCACCACCTGAAGTTTCAGAAGTCCCAAGGCCAGTCAAAGCAAAGAAGATCCCAGAGACGGTTTCAAAGGCTGAGTACGACAGCCATATGTTGACCCACGTGCCACTCAGAAATTGGTGCGAACATTGCATGGCAGGAAAGGTGCGTGAAGACGCACACAAGCCACGAGCAAAAGGAGATGAGGCCCAAGAAGTCCCACGCGTTTCACTTGACTACTGTTTCCTGGGTAGAGTTTTGGACTTAGGGGAGAGTGCAGACCCAAGGGCCCAAGATCTCCAAGAACCCCAAGGGGAAGACGAAAGTAATGTCCCAGTCCTGGTTGTCATTGACGAAAGGACTGGATGTGTTTTTGCAAGTGTTGTTGCAAAAGGTGCCAATCCACATGCCATCAATGTGGTGGTAGAGGCACTACGTTTCACAGGAAGACAGAAAGTTTTGCTCCATACTGATGGGGAACCGTCCATCAGAGCGTTGGCAGATGCTGCTGCCAACAATGGGGCAAGGAGGCACAGATTCAAACTGCACCGCGTGATTCACACGCGTCAAACGGAGCAGTGGAGCGCGCAATTCTAGAAGTATCAAGGCAAGTCAGAACTGTCGTTAATGCCCTTGAGACAAGATACCCAAACTATAAGGTCAAGCCAAACAGTTTGATATACCCGTGGGCCGTAAGACATTCGGCCTGGCTGTTGAGCAGGTTCCTCGTGAAGACGGACGGCAAGACGCCGTACGAGCGACTCCGAGGCCGAGAATACAAAGGTGAAATCACAGAGTTTGGGGAAGTTTCGCACTTCAAACTTGCTGATGACAAGAAAGGCAAGTTGGACGCTCAAAGTGCAGTTGGAGTGTGGCTTGGTAAATCGCTCAACTCAGACGAGCATTACCTAGGCACTGAGAATGGAATCAGGCGATGCCGATCTCTTTGGAGACGACCTGAGAAGTTACGATGGTCCAGAGAAAAGTTGGACAACATGAAAGGAGTTCCTTGGCAGCCAAGAGGTGAACCAACATCCATCCTGAAACCAGATGCCAAGGCGGACCGAGCTCCAAGATCAGTGTATATCACATTGGATCGACAGATCAAGTATGGACAAACCCCAAGATGTCCAGGTTGTTTCTCAAGCTTGGATGATCCGAAGAGACATTCAGCAGAATGCAAGAAGCGATTCGGAGAGTTACTGAAGAAAGACAAGGCGTCCGACGAGAGTAAAGAACCGTTGGAAGACGCCGAGATGGAGCGGACAGATGCTCCAGAAGTCCCTGATCTGGAAGCGGGCGGCTCCGCTCCAACATCTGGAAGTGCGGCCAAGCGGGTAGCCCCGCTGGCCAAGTGGATCCTGCGGGTAGCACCGCGGATTCATCAAGGGCCAAAAGGCCATCTCCCGGTCCAGAATCGGAACCGAAGAAGGAGAAGAAGACGCCAAAGCAAGGCGAAAAGAGACCGGCTGAAGTTTCACCAGATGACCTGGCTGAACAGCAAGAGCCAGAATCAGAAATGATCGGTGGTCTTCCCACACTTCACTGGTCGGAGTGGACACCGATCGCTGCATACCCAGACTGGGGAAAAGTAAAGGCAGCGTATGACGAAAGAACAGGCGTTCAGTTACCATTAGAAAAGGTCAAGAAGGCCAGGGGCAGGGAGCTGGACAAGATGGAAGAACACCCGGTGAAAACCGATATCACCTGGGAAGAGGCACGGCAGAAGGGCCTCAAGATCGTGAAAAGCCGTTGGGTTGATGGCTGGAAAGCATTGCCGGATGACCCAAACGGAGTCCGAAGTCGTTGTGTAGCCCAAGAGGTTAACACAAGCCCACGTGACGATGTCCATTCAGGGACACCTCCGCTGAAGGGACACAGGATGGTAGTTTCATCAGCTGCAACTGCCAGGAAAGGTCAACCACGTGGTCCGAAGCTCATCAGTCGATATGACGTGAGCGTAGCATTTTTCCACGCTTACAGCACAGGGAAGATTGCGGTTATCCCTCCAGAAGACGTGTACGACGGACACCTCTGGTATCTGCTGAAGGCAATGAACGGAACCAGAGAAGCTTCAAAACAGTGGGGCGAGTTCGTCGAGGACAAGGTCACCAAAGGAGGTTTCCATCCGGTTAAGGTTGTGCCTGGGTTGTTCTTTCATCCCGAATGGCAAGTTACGCTCTCATGCCATGGAGACGACTTCTTGGCAGAAGGGCTGAGCTCAGACTTGGACAAGTTGGACGAGCTCATGGTGAAAAGCTTTGAAACCAAAGTTCTTCCGAGAATCGGACCAGAGCAATGGGGCGGAGAAGTGCAAGAAGGAAGTCACTTGCATCGAGTCATCAAGTGGACCGGCTCCGGGTTCTCATGGCAAGCAGATCAGAAATACGTAGACATCTTGGTGTCGGAAATGGGATTGTCCAATGCAAAGGGAGTGGATTCTCCTAGTTGCAAGGACACCGGAAAGGGAGATCGCTCAGCAGACAAAGAGTTATCTCCAGAAGAAGCAACTGAGTTTAGAAGCCTCGCCGGTACGGCATTGTACCTGTCTCTTGACAGACCTTCAATTCGGTACGCCATGAGTGAGATTAGCTCAGGTATGGCGAAACCGACAAGATTGCACATGATGCGGTTGCGTAGGCTTGGTCGCTACCTTGCCAAGTACCCATCTGAGGTGTGGATCTTCGAGCTGCAAGACGCTCCATCGGAAATTGCGATATTTACCGATTCTGATTGGGCGACCGACAAGGCCACGCGTCGCTCAATGTCTGCCTATGCTGAAAAGTTTGGCTCACATCTCATAGAGACGAGCTGTGCCAGACAGACAGTAGTAGCTCTCTCCAGTGGAGAAGCGGAATACTATTCCATGACCCGCGGTGGAGCTGCAGGATTGCTGTCAAAGCAGATCTGGGAAGGTCTCGGATATGCGGACCTATCCTTGGTGCTAGACACGGATTCAACAGCTGCAAAGGGCATAGCATCGCGCAGCGGTGTGGGCAAGCCCAAGCACTTGGACATCAAGGAACCGTGGCTCCAAGAAAAGGTCAGAGCAGGGAAAATAAGAATCCGCAAGGTTGGCACAGATGTGAATTGGGCCGACTTAGGCACTAAGAGTCTAACTGGTCAGCGTATCAATGATCTACTCAGCATCATGCCGCTGTGTAGAAGGGGCTTGGTGGTGGCATGTTTGCTGTGTGGTATAACTGGTGCCAAGGCTCAATCAGAACAGGAAGGAAGTGCGTGGAACTTCCTGTTGTACATGCTCATCGTGCACCTGTTGGCGTTGATCACCGCTGTATGGGGGACCATCTCCATGTGTAGGCGAAGGAACCGCAGAAACGCTGTGAAGATCACAAGAGATGCTTCTACGCAAACAGATCTTCCAGGCCAAGAAGCAGCAGGTTCAGGATCTGCTGGTCATGGAGGGGGTCCAAGATTGCGAACATCACAGGCACTCGCCAGTCTTTCTCAAGACAGGGTGTATGTGATTGGAAATGGAGAAAGATACCACAAGAGAACTTGTGGAATGGTGCAAGCAGCACTGCGCAGAGGAAACCAAGTGAGAGACGTTTCACATAGCCACGCCATTTTGGCACAATACACTGCATGTGGTCAGTGTGGCGGCTAGGTTTCACAATCAGCCTTGAGACTACCGACTCAGGCTGTGGAGGGGTGTTAGAGAATATACCTTATTCTCGCCCCATGACATGCATGTGCATAGTGCTACTTTATGTAGCCCCTTTTGGATCGAAGAGCTGCGAGCAAAACGGGTAGCAGCCTTTGAGTGTCTTGGCCCTGTGGGGCCGTCGCAATATTCCATAGATGATGGGAAATGAAGATACAACAATGGGATATGGGATAATTTCACAGAAATTCATGATACAATTCCACATTATCCCATATATATATATATATCATATATCCCATAAATTCTGATATATCATCCCATTATATCCCATATATAACTATATAATTACTGGGATATATTGGGATTATACCATATATATATATATCCCATATAATTCTAGCCTCTGATATTTGTTGCTCCGTCCATTCCTTCAGTATCCTTCAGTCCCGATCTGATCGATCCCCACCCGCAGCGGCCAAGCAATCCAAGCAGGGCACAGTGATCCGTGCGGCCTCCGAAGTCTTGGGTTTCCCGATTCTCGTGCCGGGCCTAGGCGGTCAGCGTCCTGGTCCCAAGAGAGAAAGCTTAGATGTTTGGATGATTTTGGATGGAAAATGGAGGATACTATTCTGAAATCATGATTGAATCATGATTTTTCATCATGATATATCATATGATATCCATGTTTCCAACATGTTTTTCGTGATTTCAGCTGGGTTATTTTATGGGATGAGGGAGCAAAAAATAGAGGGAGTTAACCAAGCAAAGATGTGAACTTCGTAGATGGATGTAATGTTTATTGGATGAATTGTTTGTTTCTCGGAAAACTGGGAAAACACTTTGGTGAAAATTATGTTCAATATCATTGTGCAGAGTTCTCCCGCACTGGTAGCTGTTCTACGCCATGATTATCTTATGTTCCACCGCTGTTTCAGATGATTGACCTTGCCGCGTGATGCATTGTCGGGATGGTCTGGAACCAGCCAGAAAGAGAATAGGTTGGCATTTGGAAGTGGTAATTGGTTGGAATTTGGACCCCCCAACAACATTAGAGGTCAAGCGGGTCTGACGGACTGGGGTAGTGTGGCAGGGTTGTCGATGCTAGTGTGTTTATTCATCCTTAACGTTTCACGCCAGATGCATCTAAATGATTCTACCCTCTGGTAAACTAACATAGCCATAGAAAATCACCATTTTTACTATATAGGTAAATCAACAATAAATGGCAATTTTCAATAGCAAACTGTTAGTTTACCAGAGGGTAAATGCATACATTGCATGGTTCATTGCCATGCAATGTTTTGCTTGAACCCACATATCCAATTTTTTCTAAGGATAATCTTGAACCGATTTCGTTCAACTCAACTTTCGGCAAGTTGATATGATTCTATTTTATATTTACCTCACTTTCGTTGGACTTACATCCCAAAAGTGTCCAAAAGTCATGTCTTCCAAACCGCGCAAAAGCCTCCTGTGAGCTCAGTGAGCTCCCGTGGGCAGGCGAGCAGAAGATGTCGCCCCTGAGACGGAAATTGGCGAATCGTTTGAAAGCCATCGAGGGTGACGGAGCCTTGGGTTTTTAGCATAGCAGGGGCTGGCTGAATGTCGCCAATTTATGCCAACTTGGTTAAGGGATGTTGAAGGACCAAAACCCAGGCCCTGTTTGTTGTCGTTGGGGTAACTTCCAAGCGGGTGCCTCTAAATCAACTGACTTATATATATAATATATATATAATATATATATATATATATATATATATATATTATATATATAATATATATATTATAATATATATATATATTATATATATATTATATATTATATATATATATATTATATATATAATATTATATATATATATATTATATATATATATTATATATTTATATAACATATAACACATGTACATGTAGTGTAATAATGTTCGGTCGAAAAATTTGCAACTTGAGGCTACACTAATATAGCCACTTGCCCAAGGTGCTGCGCTGGCTGAGCACTGGGCCTTGGCCGGACGTCGCTATGATGCTGCCCCTGGGCGGTTGCGTCTGACGGCAGGGCAGGCTGTCAAGTGTCGATCAATTGGGAAATGGATCAAGTTACCCTCTGGTAAACTAACATAACTATGGAAAATCACCATTTTTTATGGGAAAATCCACTATAACTGGCCATTTTCAATAGCCGTGTTAAATTACCAGAGGGTACCTTACCCATATATGATATTACTATAGGACTGGGGCACAATGTATAGATCCCAGCTATTCTAGGGTAGAGTGTCAGGTTTTGACTCATAGCCAAGTAGGAAATGGATCCGAAACTGTCTGGGTGAGTTTTATACAAATAGAATAAACAACATTTTTACGTTGGTCTCTTGTCACTTTTGGGGAAGAACGTGCCCAGCCATTTGTTCAACGAGTAGCAAAGAGTGACAGTGTATCTATAGAAGTATGGTTGCAAAGGTAATATCCCAACCTTTAGGAGTTGATTGTGACTGCAAAACGCCATCGTTTGACCCACTCGTCGACCTCACTGCACCTACTTGTAGCAGGTGCCCAACTTGGTGTGTTCAAAAAGAAGGATGAAGAGCTCCACAATTCTAGGGAGATGCAGGGGGTAGCACGGTGCCTACCGCGCCAAATCATTCTTTCACAGAAGCAGGACGGTAGGATGTTTGTTTTAAGAGAGTTTGGACCATACCAGGAAATGAATGGATACAATACAGTTATTGAAAAATGACCAAGGCAAAGCAACATATGTACACTGCAGCAAAGCCAATGGGAAATCGACCACTTTTGTTCCCTAATAGTCATCAATAGTACTCATTCAAATGGCAATCACCAAAACAGTCCGGGTCGATTTCGTTTCTATTGTTTTCATCTCTTTTGCTGGCTCTTAGTTCTTCATGTTCAACATATAAGCACATATTAATAGCATGTCATGATGATATCATAGTTTCCTGTTTGTGCCGAAATGGAGGGATGTGCTGCAAAAAAGTGTGCTAGCATGTCATCTCAGAATTCCCAAAGTATGGTAAGCCCTATGTTTTATAATGTTTTATCATGGATAATGTCCAAAACTATCACAGACTTTATTCCTGGAGAATTATTGTTAGATATTGACATAACCTTGTTCAGATGATGTAGAGTGATCCGCTTTTAGATATAATTAAGATGCTTCCTGGCAGTGGCTTTTGCTGATGATCCCGTAACTTAGATGAACTTCTCGAAGATTTCCCAGAAAAATCATGAAAAATCCTAAGATCCCACAAAATGGGTATGGGTCAAAATTAGGTACCCCAATAATTGGATGGTTAATACTAAACTAGACATTCACATCTGTGGTCCAAATGTTCCCAAAAATCACTCAGAAAATCTCCAAATCTCTGAGGTCTTGATCGACGCCTACGACTCGCTGAACCGCGTCCCGGCGTCCCTCTGGCAGGACACAGGGCCGCTGGTCCGGGCGCTGCCGCAGCTGCTGCAGCCGCGTGGGGTGGTGGCGGCACCGCGGCGAAATGCTGGGATTTTCCTGGAAATTTCCGTGGAAATGGCATGGAAACGTCATGGAACACATTGGAAATATTCAAGATCCATGACAAAATCCTGGAAAATGAATGGATTTTATGGAAATGTCATGGAAAGTTGTATGCATGGATTTTGATTGTTTTTTGAATTTTGAGATGCTTTTGGATGTGTAAATTGATGTTCACATGTCCGATACTTTTCAAAGTTTGCCATTTTCCAGGATATGTTTGCAATATTTTTTTGTTTTTCCATATTGAATATTGATTTTGTTTGGTGTGAATGCAGGTAAAACACGTGGGTTTGTCTCAGAGTAAGGTGCCTTGTTCACAATGTTTTTTCATGTAAATTGCAAGTTTTTTAAGGTACCCCATATTTGTAAAGACAAATCCTTTTCGGTCAGAGGTCAAAACGGGACTAAAGCAAATTCGGTCACTCAGGTCCCAACAGTAGACTGGAACAGTACCCAGTTGTATTCGAGAAGTTGACCACATGTAACAATCGCCGGAAGATGCAAATTGGTGGTGGTGTTTCAACAGCGTTTTGATTGATTTGGAATTTGGAATGATTAGGAAGTGTCCTGGAATAGTCGAACCTGGTGCTCCACCCAAGCACCACCACCCATCCAAATCAGGACAAACCTTGGTTTGTTTGGTTGGTTTTCCTAGGTTAATTCCTCCGCATGCCAACGGAGGAATATGTCATATCAAACATGCACTTACAGGTAATAGCTTTTCCAGGGCTTAAATGCACAGTTGGGTATTGATATGCGTGGCTGGTTGGTGGTTTGTAACATTTGTCATTTTTCCATATATTGGGAATAGTAACCCCAACTGACGAGCATATTTTTCAGAGGGGTGGCTCAACCACCAACCAGGTGGATATCCAACGATATTCATGATTGCTCCAATCCATTGTATGTAAATTAAATTATAACCACAAGAGAGGGAAATTGGTCATTTAACCACTTTATCAACCAAGTTTCCCCCCTTGTACTTGGGGTGTTGGGAGCAACCTTATTCTTGGTCAGTATCCTTCATGATGATTGCATGATGATTGCATAGCTCAAGAAGACACGAGGCCAACGTGCCGCCGGGATTTCCCACTTCCACAATGCTCCAAGCGTTTCAAGGAGCCCTGCGCGTAACTCGGCTGTTGATGGGTCAAACGCTGTAGATGTGGTGTGGCCAGATAACATGAACGGAGGGGCGTTTGACCGTTGGGGTCAAGTCCGATACTCCAAAGATATTGTTTCAAAGACCAACATGTGCAATAGAATGACCAGGAATGACCATGAATGAACCATGTAATTATGTGGGATTTTGTGGATAGTTGTGATGTTGGTCAATGCTGTTTGAAACGCAAAGATTGGAGTTTCAGCCGTTTCGGCGTTCCAAATAGCTGGCAGCCACGGAAAGCAAAGGTTGTACAGGTTGTAGGGATGTGTGTCATATGTTACTTGAGCAGCACCCCCAAACCTAGGCTGTACCATGCCGTACCCTATGGTTATCCGTTCTTTGCATTTCTTTGCATTGTTAGAGATGCAAGATGAGGACTGCTATCATTAAATGAGTCAGTACCCAAAGTGAAAACCCCCAAGTGATCCTAGAGAAGGCTTAGAACACTGCTCACTTGTTGCTTGATATTCTGTGGAAACTTCCGCATTAAAGTTTTCATAAATCATTCATCGGGTACCACGGTATCCCCCATTTCAGACAGATCAATAGCCGGAAGGGCGACACGGAACCTTCCAGGATGGCGTTGACTTTTTTAGAAAAATTGTATTCTGGGGGTGTCTAAACTGTTGTCATTGTTCATCATCTAACAGCCATCTTGGGGATTGAAAACGATCCAATGCAAAAGCAGGGGTTTGCGGGGAGTGTTGGTTGGGGCGCGGAGAGTAGTTTCTTTGATGTGTAACAGCAGGTTTAACGAATGAACGGTCAGCATCCTTACCAGAGAGTTCCAGTTGTGTGTGCTGGCTACATCTAGACTCCTCAGCACACGCCAAGGATTCCGATTCGACACCCCCCGCATTGACCTTTGAGGCAAGTTTCTCTGAGAAAGAGGAATGCCTCAGAAACCTCTGAAACTTGATGTGTGTGTATAGGAAAAGCAAATAAGAGTAATTCATCACTATTCTGCGGGACATGACGTATAGACCTACATACATCATCATACATCCCCACCCTAGAGGTTAGTAGCATCGCTGGGAGTCACCGCAAATTGCCATCGATCAATGTGCCAAAAGGATCCAATTTAGGCAGGTTTATGCTGGTTTATGCTGGTTTGTTTACCTGCCTAGGCTGGGTACCGATGTCTCAGTTGAAAAATACCCAACTGACCCACTGAAGGTGTAGATATAGGGATCTGATCAACCCAGGATACCCAGGCAAGACGGCTGGGTGATTGGAGCAGCAACAATGCGGATTTAAGCATGCTACAAGCTGTGTTGAGGTGTACAGTTCAATATATTTATACAATTATTATACATACCAAACATGATGTTACAGTACCAAGAAAATGATGGATCTAACCTACGAAAGGATCTGCAGTAGCGCGAACAAATATTAGGGCAAACAAAATGAGAACGGCCAACAAAAACCGGATATGGTCAAAGGCCAATGTTTATGGCCTCTAGATCCTGAATCGTTGACCACACATGTGGGATTCTTCTAGCAGTAACAGCCCTAAGGTGGTAAATTCAATTTAAACAACTTGAGGCGTGATCTATTCAAGGATTCTAACGAGCATTTTTTGGGATGATTTGTTTGTTGCCAATTGACAATTACCTATGGCAATGAGAGCTGCCCCAGATGTTGATGTTTTTCCATGTTTTTCCATGTTTTCCATGAATTCCCTCTTGAACAGTCGGTTTTTCATCTTAACTTAGCAAACAGTCGCAGCTGTTGGTCGAGGTTCCCGAGACGATGAACACCGTCGCTTTGGTTCTGCGGGGGATCGAGGAGAGGGACGATGATCACCGGTATTTTTGTTGGGTGATTTCATGGGAGATGAATGGGAAAAATGGAGGTTTAATAATGTTTAATATGCGGGTTAATCATTTAAAACATTTGAGTTATTTTTCCATCTATTGGGAATGTCATCATCCCAACTGACGAACTCCATCATTTTTCAGAGGGGTGGCGAAAAACCACCAACCAGATAGGATATTAATAGGATTTGTGTTACCCTCAATCAAACGTGGTTTGCTGGAAAATTGCCGATTTATACCGTTTTATACCTATAGGCCACTTCTCCAGCCTTCATTCGGACTGGAATTCCGGCCTGAGAGATGTCCTCCTGAAAAGTGCTTCGGGCAGAAAATCAGCAGAATCGGGCGGAATCTTGAATAAGCGTTATTTTTCTGATTGGGCTTACCAAACTACTAGCAAAAACTAGGATCATCATGGTTTCTGTTGAACCAATTTAGATGGTAATTCACCAATCTGAACTGGTTTGATTCCAGACTTCTGTCCCCATGGTAAAGTTGCAGCTGTTGACCATGGTGGTACATCGTGGGGACGAAGCATTTAAGCTACCCATGTTGGTAGCTTTAAACATACTAACATGGAGCCCCAACAGGGAATTCCACTCATGATCCTCCCAACTTTTTTTTGGGTTACCTGGTTAAATCTGGTTAATCCTGCTTACCTGTTCATTGTTATGCATTTTTTCATATTAGTGCCATAGTTTTCAATGATTTTCCAGTGCCAGGTGAACACGTTAGATCATCCATTTCGCGGCGGCAGGAGGAGGAACCTTTGTGGTCTTTGCGCCAGGAAGCGAAGAAGATGATGAATGGTACGCCCGCAACGGTCATGGTGATGAGGGCCCAACTGAAGTAACTTGTGCAAAAAAATTACTTTACTTCGTGTGATCCCCACCATGACATTTATACATTTTGTTACTGGCAAATCTTCTCTGGCGGTGATGGTCGTGGTTGAGGTCCGGCAGGGAACACTGGGCGGGGATACCCGCGGTTGAGGTCCGGCAGGGAACACTGGCGGTGATGGTCGTGGTTGAGGTCCGGCAGGGAACACTGGGCGTGGATGGTCGTGGTTGAGGTCCGACAGAGACCACTGTGCGTCGAGGGTCGCGGTTGAGCAGGAGGAGGAGAGGAGGAGAGGAGAAGAGGAGAGGAGGAGAGGAGACGAGGAGCAGGCAACTGACATAAAATCTAACAACCCTCACCTGGCAGGTGGGGAAAAAACGCGAAACTGAGGATGATTTAATGATCAGTTAATGTGATTTTAATCTTGTTTTGCTAATGGGATAAGAATGGGAACTGAACAATGATGATGTAACTGTCAATGATCAAAATCGGCGAAGCAAACCTGGCGAAGCAATGGTGGTCCAACAAATCTTTTGGGACGACACCGGCAAGCCAAACACAGGGCCTTCGACCTGTTTGGATTGTGTCCACTTTGCGATCCTAGATGTAGAGCCCATGATCCGTGACTGCTGGGTGGTTTTATCGCTATGCAATTATACATACATAATAAAATATTTTATAAATATATACATGCCTACAATGTACATATATATATATATCCATTTGCTTTGAAAGATATGTCAACTTGTCGAGATTTTGGGAGACGTGTTGATTTCTTAGGTCTTAGCTGTGCCATGCATATTCTAGGTACATGTCTGCCTTTGAGTTATCTGATGTTGTTCTTATTCAATTCATCAAGCACGCACGAAACACGCATCAACCACGCACAATGCGAAAAGAAAAGCAACAACATCCTCAGCCTTCCCTTCGTGCGAGGTCGTGAGTGCTTGATTGATGTTGTAAGCCGACTTACCGACTGCAAGTGTCGCAGGAGCTGAAAACCCATTTGCAGCTGGGCTTGGAAGCCATCAGCATGTCGTGGGGACTACCTGGGGATTACCATGCGTGAATAAATGTGTTGCAGGTCTTGTAGATCCTTTGGTCCTTTGAGGGGCCAGTGTTTTTTGACCGGCGGAGAGTCATGAGCAGCTTACTTTGACGTTGCAAGTGCCTGCTTTATTGTGGGGTCATGAATTGTGGGCTGGCCTGCATTCCTGAATCTTCACGAGAAATGACCATTTGTGGTGCAGAAAATGTTTTTTGCACTCTTTTTAGCACAAAATGACAGGGCAACCACTTGGTTCCAGAAAGCATCAGGGAAGGTCATGAAATCACCTGCTCCACCAGTTCAAAACTGCCATCCTGTATGAAGCATCCCAGCATTTGGAAGGAATTGCCCAGTGTGGACCCATATCCAACAGTTGGCAGCATTGGTTTTCATTTCCACACGTTCCTAGACTTGGTTGAAGGGAACGGAAGAAAACCGCATTGGCTGATGATGGTATAACATCAATAATTTCCTGCAACCTTTCCCTTCAACCACTCCATTTCCCTTATAAGTTGATAGTAAATCCATGTAAACTTATATATATAGTGCAATTTCTGATGGATGGTTGATAGTAGATTTGTTTCACCGTCAACTTCCGAGATAGATCAACTTCCCATATACTCACTTGATAGTGAGTATGATAGATATCTTACCATCAAATTCATGGTACATGTATAAATATAGTAATATACATATTATATATATACACTATATACATATTATACATATATTATACATATATTAATCATAAACATCCCCATCTTGAAGTGATCCAATACATCCAATCCATGTCCATGTCGACGCCGTAGCCGCCATGCAGCGCCCCGTAGCCGCCATGCCGCCATGCAATGCCGCAGGTACTGCCGTTTTTTTCAGGGGAAAGGCAGAAGGAAACAGCAATTGTTTAACGAATTCAAAGTTGTTATCCCAACTATCCATTGATATAATTTGGAGAAATCTGATTTTTCAACATCATTTTAACGTTGGTACATGGGTCAAATGGGATATCGAATGGAATTTGATCCATTTTCAGATCCAATGATGGTGAAATTTACATAATCTCAATGATACATACTACTGTAGCTTAATTAAGCTACTAATCCAATGATGTTTAATGAATGTATTCGGACTGTAATTGGATTTGGGTAACTATCCCATTTCATTTTAGTGAATTAGTGTAATTTATCCAGATGTATGTAATGTGTATTGCAGAATTCATTGAGCTGGATATACTCTGATTCAAAACAAACATGGAAAACAAGTGGCGAGGGCTTCGATATGCTGCGACTGCCACAATCAAGAAGAGCATCATTGCTCATGAACACTGTTTTTCCCGTGCAAACCCTGCGTTTAGGATTCATACTTAGCATGCTTGGTTAACTGGCAGGTCTAATCTGCATGTGTGTGGAGGTTCTATTGGATTGTCGGAGATTCGCATACAGTACTTTACAAGCCACAAATTCCAACCGCAGACTTTTCACGGGACACTGCCTTTTTCCCCGATGAAGTTGTTTTGTCCATGATATATCCGACTAAAGATACCAAAAATGGTCCAAAGAAGAGTATTTAAAGCTTATGGGATGTGGAGATCCCCTTCAAGATGGGGATATGTTCATGGAATTTCCAGGGTCAAAACGCTGACCCCTGGTGCCTGGAGGTTTCCTAAATGGGGGCAGCCCAAAACAATTCTTGTTATAGTCAATAACCTATACTAAGTCATGGTCATCCATGCCGACTGGATGATTCGATGGATTTTGGGGATACCCCCATGACTTCGGAGACCTCCATATATCATGATCAATCCCAATCACCCTCTGGTAATTTCACAGTTCGCTATTGAACATGGCCAGTTAGTTCGTTGATTTCCCTTTTCAAAATGGTGATTGTCCATAGTCATGTTAGTTTACCAGAGGGTATCAATCAAATCAATGGGAAATTCAGGATCCTAAAATGGAGGAACGTGTTTACGTACCATATGTTTGGCCATATGAATTGTGGGGATATTCCCTGAAATTTAGGCCTCAAATTGATAGGCCTTAAAAAAATGCTAGGCACCTCCAATGAATCGGATCCATCAGTCGAACCCCCCACGACACGTCAAGGTGCGGCTAGCGCAGCAGAAGTGGCAAGATGCTGTGACCTGGCGAGAAATCCTGGTCGATGATGGTCCCAGATACAGTACTGTATTTGTGGATGGATGGATGGATAAAGAGATAAAGATAAAGATACAAATAGATAAATAGATAGATGGATAGATGGATGGATAGATGGATAAATAGATAGATACGTAAGTAGTATGTATTAGTTAGATACTGTATTAGGTAGAGATACTGTATTACTGTATATAATGTAATGTAGGGATAGATGAGGTGGATGCACGTTACCTTGTTAAACACGCGTTAAAATGGGACCAGGGATGGCACCGAAGCCAGGATCCGTTGGTGGGGGGATAAACCATGGTGAATGGTAGGTCAATTGCTTATTTGTTTAGACATCGGGCGGGAGAATATGTCGAATATGTCTACCCCAAAAATGAATTTCTTTGCGAGTGTTGTATCTCAGCTTAGCAATGTTTTTTTAAAGTTTTGCTGGTTGAACAAGGACCTAAGGAGTACCCTCTGGTAATTTAACATAGCTATTGAAAATCACCATTTTTAATGGGAAAATCCACTATTAATGGCCATTTTCAATAGCTACGTTAAATTACCAGAGGGTATCTAGGATTAGTCATGTTATTCCAGAATTTGTTGAAGGATTCTTTTTTAAGGCAAACCCCATTGTTGGCAAAACTATGCAAAACCTTCGTGTTTCCTACATCAATCTACTGACCATTGACCTTATGATTTCAACATGAAACCTAGAAACTCCGGTCAGAAAGATATTTGTCATATTTGGCACCTTTAAATGGCCCATCGTCAGGTCCAATTGGGTTCCCAAAATGATCCAAAATCATTCTAGACTTTGCATAATATGGTAGGTGTCCGAAGATTTTCACGATTTTTGTTCCACTCTAGATAGGGTCAGGAATTTACAGGATATTAAAACATCTGACACTCCAGGCCGCATTTTGTTGATGAAATTCATATCATGTTTATGTCTGATGACGAATATTCCATTGTTTGTTGATGAAATTCCCATTTTTTTATGGTGAACACTCCACATTAAACCTCCGGGACGGCCAAGAAAAAATCCCGACAGCGGCAGGTGTCTTTTCTCCTATCTGCGCAGAAGCGGAAGATGCTGCCCACACTGGCCACCTATACCTCGGCCCCTTAGTGGCAGAAATGATGCCTCCAAATCCACCAACATGACCGACATGACAACATTTGGATATGTTTTTTTACTTGTAGGATTCAACATGATGAGATCTCCAAAATGGATGGTTTTTGTATGGCAGATATGGCTTAAAAAATTCTGGTGTCCTAACTGGCGGATCCGAGGGTTGAAATCACAGACCCTCCAGTAAATTGAGACCCTGGCAGATAGGGTTTGGAAGATTTGCACTAAAAATGGTCTATGTTAATTTACCAGAGGGTACATGTATTATATATATACATAACTATACATAATAGAGGAATACGGATGATCAGAGTGACCACAACCAGCAATTTGTGCAATAATTTGTAGGATCCTTTGGATCTTGACTTTAGGTTGCCAAAAAACCATGGAGTTCTCCGAAAAATCCACTGGCTTGTCGTTCCAATTTTTTGGAGTTTACAGGTCACTGATGTAGCCATCTATCAACATCAATTCACATCAGTTGATAGTTGATAAATGTTGATAATGATAAAATGGGATAATCAATGGGTTATACGTTATACATAAAAACATGCCATTTTTGGAGTTCAATGTATAACATGATGATAACTTATATAACCCATGATGATCCCCATTGATTCTGACAGCTGACATCTGACAGGTGATGTCTGCATGTTCCAAGCAGTTCCAATGGCAGCTGGCAGCATCGTTGATGGCGGAGTTGCGAGGCGCTTTCCGCTGTGGATGCCTTGATGTTTTGGTGTGGGGACATGCTGGACCCATTAAAACAATCATTAACACAGGTCCAATAGGTGCGTAACCACCCAAACACTGAAGTGTATATATGGGGCTTGGTAGTAGCTATTTAGTATTGAAGCATCCAAGTTTGAGACCCAACCATGACCAAAGCAGAAGAATCTCTAGAGTATCAATAGCCACTGGGCTTTCAAGCCACATCTGGTGTAAGGAAATCACAACTCCCAAATGGTACCCTCAAAACGGCAGTTTTAAAGGGAAATCGTGATTGACAATTGGATTTGAGGGCACTTATTTTTCAGAGAATTCCAAATTGTTCAATGAAATGTGCCTGGGATATATACTCATCCCAGTGGATATACATAAACATAGTGGATATATATATAATTATATATATATAAACAATCAGCGAACGAATGTGCCTGGGAAGCTCCTTGAAACCTGCGAATAGGTCAGACGGTCAGACCCTGGATTCATCCCCTTTGGAGGATTGAAAGTGGTCTCATATCATGTGGATCTCATATCACACTAGATAACATCCAATCATCTATTTTAACATTGCATTATATTATGATCATATATTATTTTCGTTGGCTAAGGGAATCCCCTACCTGCCCCCTGCCCCAGCCCCGTCATCCCCAGTCTAGGTCGCGCCCTGCGGCCAGACGCGCTAGCGCAGAATGCCGAGCTTTGGGCTCTCGCCAAGGGTCTCCAGTGGCGCACGGCGTTGCATCGCTGGAGGCACCCAATGGGCCCTTGTTGGTGGTGCGATAGATGGATAGGTTGGATAGGTTTTCTCAATTCATGTCATGGGAAATCCCCAGTTGTTACCATGGTTGTTAAGGTAATTATACTTAGTAGTCATGGTCATCCGTGACGACTGGATGATTTGGGGTTACCCCACTGTAGAAAACATCCATACATGGGATCTACTTTCTGGAGATTTACAGTAACGGTTTTGGGAAGTGGAAAATCACAGTTGTTTTAAAAACAATAAGGCAATGTAAGTCATATAGTCATATCTTATATCATTAAAATGGGCCATGTTCATCCGTTTTCCATACTTGTAGCCATGTTAAACTATGGGATTCGTATGATTTAGCAAAATTTCAGGATCAAACATAGAGATTTATAGTCTGGGCAGTGATTAGCCAACAATTTCACGGGGTTTTAACTAGTAAATACAGGAGATTAAGTGGAAATCAAGAGGGTCAACCGAGGGACATGGTGCTATTCTGGTACTCATCAGCTGAAAAGAGATGGAGGTTCAGTGGGGGTAGAACGACAAGATTGCCATGGTGGACATAAGCATAATGAATATCAACAAACTTAAGTACTACTAGTACCATCTACTACCAATTTGTTGGCACTATTTACTACATGATATTATATATAATATATAATTAATATTAATTAAGTATACTGTATATGTCAATATGTTAAAATATGCAAACTACAACTAGATTTGAGTTCCGTCACAGCTTTGATATGATTGAGTTGGCATGTCCTATTTTGTACCTCACCCTCTTACAGTATGCCGTGGTGCAGTGCGCACGTGCGGACGCTTGCTCGGCGATGTATCCGGTCCAAGGTTTAAGATGGTAATCCGGTTGGAAAGGGTATACCATTGCATCACCCCGTTTCTTACGGAAAAACAAAACATCTCTATTTGCTTGGTGGTTTCAAACATGTTTTATTTTCCATTTCATATATGGGATGTCATTCTTCCCATTGACTTTAATATTTTTCAGAGGGGTAGGTATACCACCAACCAGTTATTGTGAGAAACATCACGAGCTGTTTTTGCACCAAAATCCCTCAGTTTGAGGTGAGATCATATCCGTTCTTGACCGGTGAAGGGCGTGAAGGGTATCCGTTCTTGGTTGGTTGCATATCACCAGTGCTGGTTGATCTTTCTGCTGGTTAATACCTAGAATTTTATGACTATGATCCAACTCTGAATCTGAAGTAGATAGAATAGCCCGCATTTCCTGAACTGTATTATAGTAACCCCAAAAGCAAGAAACATACTGTGTGTATATGTATATATATATATTATGATGTCTTCACGATTCGAGCATGATTCTACTTTTCCCATGTGTTTTCTATCTTTTTTGGTGTTGCTATCTTCCATTACGGGTTCGAATATCCGTTCATGTCTGGCGGCGACACTCAGAACCAGCTCCTGCAGGACTGCACCAAAGAACACCTCCGCCTTTGCCGTGGCTCGAAATTTCACGGAAACCCGGAACCCCCCGATTTTTATGGGCTAAGTTACAATACCCTCATGGAAAAAATGTGGAGATTTCATGGGTCAATGATGACGCGTCGAATTTTTTCCAAATTACCGATGTCATGGTATCCTCTGGTAATTTGAAAAACATGGAAATCCGGTCAGCTCTGCCAAGTTGGATGACCTAGGGGTACCTAGGCGTATCGGAATCATTGTGAGAGGCTGCTCCCATACAAAAGCTACATTTCAGACGACCTTAACCCAGCACAGCATAGTTGTAAACATCTATAATTATATATATATAGTATATAGTTAGATTTACATATCCAAACCAACTTGCGATTCCAAGGTGATTATCATCATTTGGGATTCCGAAAGCACTGCGACTACAACATGATATTATTTCTTTGAATAATACCGCAATTAAACTTAAAATACTAAATATCAACAACAAGTCCATATGCTTTATACCATATGGTTATTTAACATAGCCATGGAAAATCACCATTTTTAATAGGTAAACCATCTATAAATAGGCAATTTTCCATAGCTATGTTAAATTACCAGAGGGTAATATATTTTATGTATATATATATACTCACTTGGCCATGAATTCCACCCGTGGCATAAGATCCCTCTTTTTTGCCGAGGCCTTGATGGACTGTTTCGCCAAGGGAAGTCGATGGCAAGACGCCTTCCAGCTGGCCTTTCACATGGAAGAGCAGGGCCTGCAACTTGACTCGGTCTTGGGGATCTTGGGGATCTTGGTACCAGGATGTACCAGGTGACATTCCGAGTTTCGAAATTTTCATGGAGTCGTGTTACTGGTGATGAAGTCGTATTTCATGAGCATCTCCAATACAAGCATAGTTTTAGCATAGTTTTTAGATGGCTTTCTGATCCTTTGGAATCCTCAAAATCTGTATCTGGTTGGTGGTTTGGAACATGAATTTTATGACTTTCCATATATTGGGAATGTCATACTCCTATTTGACTTTCATATTTTTCAGAGGGGTAGGTATACCACCAATCAGGTATATGTTTCATCCTGTCATTCGAAGCTACAGAGATTGGCAAAGTGAAGCCAGCAGCCAGCAGCAGCCGCGGAAGTCTGTTTGGGCAGGTCTAGATGGAAGCGATTGTTGAAGAGTTTGGATTGGGGTTTACTCAGAAAAGTTATGGTTTTAATAAGTAAACCATATTGGGATAGCATATGATACCAATTGATACCATGATATGAATATATATATATATATATATGAATCATACTTGGATTATTTTCACCATATTTATAGGAGACCATGATATGGTGAACTTTGAAGCAAAGGTTTCCTGACCTGTACTTGCTTTTTTATCTAAACCCTGCAGGTACCCATAGAAGGGCTTCAACGATACCAACATGATTTGACATGTTTTGGAAGGTTCCCCCAAAACCAATTCCGGGATGTCCACACAAACTTTCCACATGTTTGCAAGACTTCCCAGGAAAGGCAACCTCATTACCTTCAACTTGCTTCTGAATGCGTGTGTAACTCGCTTGAGCCTGGAGGTGTTGCAAACATGGGTTGCTGAGTCAAGATGAAACACCCTCAAACTTGGCTCCTAAATATGGCAAACCGTCCCATGAATTCTATGGCAAGAGTTCCTAACACCATCACTTGGATGATTTGGATGTAAGCAGGAGTGAGAACGAAGAACCAAGTACATTTTCGGGTGTTTTAATGGAGGTACACACGCAGTTCCAGACCATGTTTCATCATTTTTCTCACCTACATTACGTGGGTGGTGGTTTGGAACATGGCTTTTATTGTCCATTTCATATCTGGTATGTCATCCTTCCCATTGACGAACTCCATCATTTTTCAAGATGGTTATTGCATCACCAACCCGAATATCATAGAATATCCATCAGAACTATGGAAAATCACCATAAATCACCATTTTTTATAGGTAAACCATCTATTTCTATGGTTTTCCATGGTTTTCCCCCAGTTTTATCGGACGACACTGTAGCGTCTGAGATCCGATGAGGGGGGATTTTGACGCAAGGATTCTTTACGTCTTTCGTAGTAGATCCTGTACATCCCCAAATCGACGTCGACCTCTTTCTGTTCCTTCGATGATGATCAAAATTACCATCCATTACCATCCATTACCGTTTTTGGCAATTTTTGATGAGTTGAGAAAATGTGTTTCAGAGGTGTTGAAACCATGAAGCCGGGTTTGGAATGGAGATGAGATACCCCATGGTTAGGAGCGATCCTCCCAGTGGCTCCGCGGACTGCAACTTTACCAGCAGATGAGGTGTGGTTAGGGATCGAGAAGCCCTGTTGATTGTTGATATCCCATATTCACTGGAGAATCATTTGTGGAGAATTGAATATGATCATATTGAAATCCTCAATTAGTTGAGGATTTTTCAATAGTGATTGCGGTAATTGGGATGATCACAATGGCAATGAAGTGGGAAATCCAACGGAAATCCTTGAGCCAGCAAGCAGAATCAGATGACTGGGGGGACAGGCACCAGGTTTGATGACTTTGGAGTCCCAGATGGTGGAGTTTTTAGAGGATGAGATTACACTACAGGCAATGGTCATAGCCATTCATAGCCCAATTTTCTGGGCACTCTGTTCATAACTATGAATGTGTTCTCAAACAGCTTGCTGAAAAACTCATTGGATGTATCATGATTGATCATAATTTATCCGCCGATCCAGCACTTGACCTATATTGATGTCCATTAATAACCCCCCTAAGTTCACCAATGTTCACCATCCGCCCAAAAACCGCCCCACCCGCAACGCGGTCAACGTCGTTAAGGCGTCGCGATCTCCGCGACGTGGTGAGCGTCAACAGTTCCTTGGGCGCGCTGGTCTCAGCGACGCAGTGGCGAAGGGCCCTGCAGCTCTGGGAGGAAGCGGAGACGGCGGAGACGGAGCCGAAGCTCGGTGATGGGCCGAGTGACTGGTTGGATGGGCTGTTGTTTACCCTCTGGTAATTTGTTACATAGCTATTGAAAATGACCCATTTATAGTTGATTTACCCATTAATCATTAGTAATGGTGATTTTCCATAGTTATGTTAAATTACCAGATTGTTTTTTTGGGGGTGACTCATGTTGATTAACAGGGACCAACTCAAGGTAATATTGCCATTTTGTTTGGAATGTGAGTGTTGATTAATTCTGGGGTGCTTATGAAATATTGAACTGAAGATTACTGAAAATCATTTGGCCAAATATGTTCCCTTTAACTGCCAGTTTTGCTCAACGACCATTCTTGTTCGTGTTGATGCCTTGTTCCCGGGCTAGTTTGACACCTTGAATGATCTAGTTTTGGTATGTTTTGGTCCTTTCTTTGGATGTTGAATGGTTTGTGATGGAACCAAATCAACCAAATTTGATCACTTTGTCGCCCCCATGTTCTATGTCAGAGAATATGGTACAGTACCCCTAAATCAACGTCTTAATTATGGTTTGAAAAAAAATGCTCTCAGTAGATAGCCATTTCAGGGCCCAAATGGTATGATCATGCCAGTTTCATCCAGTTTATCTATTTTCAAGTACAAACCAAATGATGTCCATGTTTAATCCAGTTTAATCCAGTTTAATACGGGTGTTTCCCCATCAATTCCATGAATTCCATGTCCTTAAACGAATGAACACTCTCCTCGAGGACTGAGGTCACGATGAACACTCTCCTAATGGCCTACTCCTCTGCGTTGCAGTGGCAGATGGCACTCCAGTGCTGGCAAGGTACATAACCCTGCTGGAGCTGCTGGGTCAATGGGAGATCTCCAGGATCCGATTTATTGGAGGTACTGTACTACTGTACCATATGTTTGGCCATATAAATTGGGGGTATATCTCCAAAAACATAGCCCTAAAAAATAGGCCAAATATATATGGTAGGTACCTCCAATGAATCGGTTCCTAAAATGGCCATTGACTGGGGGTGGCAAGGATCATAACGTAGCATCAAATAAGTAGTGTTCAAAACCTTTGTTGGTTGATGATGAGTTTGGGAGTAATACAATTATACTACAAGTACCCCCAAAAAATGGGAATGATCCAATCCCAAATAGGATGCCCTTTTTTTAACAAAGCAGTAGCTCATGGAATGACAGAGGGATTTGAACACTGCCTGTGGTTGGGTGCTGTTTGAATGGCTAAGCCAGTTTTGGTGCAAATTTCTGGGTGTGAGTTCCAAGTGTTTTGAAAGAACATGAAACAACAATGTCCCACATTCTTGAAAATTTGAGGCAATAGATGGCAAGATCTCATAAGTGTGTTATATTCCAATGGAACCATTACATAATATTACATATATACATACAATGTATGCATATGTTATACAACATTACGACATAGATATAGCAGTCCTCCTGAAGTTGCTACCTTAAAATCTAAAACCCTTGGCGCCGCTCCAAATGCCTTCCGGCGCTAGTTGCTGGAGGTGTTCAAATCCCCATGCAAGGCACCACCCTCCGGTGTCATCAAACATGGGTAGCTGAAAAATCCAAGATAAATGGTGCTTTGATGGGAAACGTATTTATAAACATGGGTGGTTTTCCATTGCTATGTTTGATTAAGAGTGTATTCGTGTTCCTTGAGAACATGTTCACTGATTCGGGTTGCGTTGTTTTTGTTTTGTTTACACCAACTTATATCATGTATTTCTTTGATAAAATCCAAGCAAATCAGTTGAGCAGTGTTCGAAACCCGCAACGTCATTGCATTTCATCCTTGTTGGTGAAGAACAGGATTGCCACTTCAAGATCATATTCCTAATTGATATTGATATTGATATTGATACACACATGTATATATATATATATATACTATATATATAATATATAGAGTAGTAGAATTCCCAGACTAATCATCAAGCAACTGGCTGTCGAGTTCGACGCAGGCTTTGGCCTCGCATCATCCGAAGCCACCTTTGGCGTGTTGATGGATGCCATGGGAGCGCCAGGACTCGTTGCTTTGGCTACGGGCTACGTGTTACATATATTAGTGGAAGGTTAATATACGGTAAATATATGGTTAATATATGGTTAATACATGTAAACATATAGTTGTATATGTATATATATATGTAATTATATGGGCGTTTCTTAAAAAGGCGGATCCCCAAAAGCATGGGTTTCAGTTTCAATACAGTACTAGTTTTGGATGATTTGGAGGTGCCCCCACTTCAGGAAACCTCACATATTTATCAGGAGTATGTGGTAAATGGAAAAAAACTGAAGACAGAGATGTTTTATACCCAAACGGTATAGTGAGTTTAGTGGAAAGTAATCTTCCATCCCCTATTTATTTGGCAGTGGCAGGGTCTATGTTAAATTATTTTGGTGGAGTGTAATACTTGTATGGCACACATGTTAAGACCTGAAAACTTAGCTGGTTCCCTGATCTTATTGCTTGGCCCCATATGGCCCGATACTCATGTCATGAAACTGATTGCAATCTATGGCGGGACGCATAGAACATACACCCAACCAGCACTCAGCCGTGCGCAAAGAGTGAATCTTTCCAGCCACAAGACCACTGCCAGGAGTGGACTGGCGCTTTTCGCTTGAACTTTTGAACGAGAGTTACTTGGCTACGAGAAGAGGGTAGCCCCGAAAAACCTAGACGCCCTCAGGGTATCCCTTTGTCGTATCAAGTTAAGACTTCAAAAGAATGACAGTATCATTCATGTATTTTAGAATACATATTAACATGTGTTTTATTATATATATACACACCTCTTGCCACAGAACGAATGAACAATTTCTGTGGTCCCATCCTCCCGATTCAGCAGCCGCTCAAAATCAAAACGAGGTTTTGAAATCCAACACAGTGGGAGTCCCCCAAAAAGAGCTAAAACAACATCTACAGTATCTATAGAGTATATCTATCTACAAAGTGTCTATAAGTATAGTTTCAGTGGGTCTCAAGCATCCACGCTTGGCTTGGGCGTTTCATCTCCGGCCCAGGCGGAAGAAGGTCCCGAAACGTGGTCACCTACACGTCTGCCATGAAGGTTTTGTCACGCGCACAGCAGTGGGAGATTCCTGGAAGCATCGGCGTGCATTCGGATGTATTGGGTATACAATAACTATAGCATTGACATGCACTGACCTTCACAGATCATATATGTGTATGTGTATATATATATAGTGGCATTTGTTGGAGGATTAAAAGCTACCACACTATGAGAAAATCAAGGGTGACTAAGAAAATTCAGCACTGTTGCCGACTCGCGGCCCTTCTGTCGGACGATTTCAACCCCAAAGATAGAGGCAAACAACAGTGCACCTGGTTTGCTCCGGAAAACAATAACCAGTATATTAATGATTATATATATATATATAAATATATATATATATGATTACATATATACAATTATATATATATATATGTTCAAAAGCCTAAACCACTAATATTAAGCCTTAAGAATCATCAAACCCTAAGATCACCACTGATCACCAAAGCCCAACATCATCAAAGCTTATCGCTGAGGAAGGCACTGAAGCTCTTCGAGGAGATGCAAGACATGGAGGCCCAGGGATTCTCTGAGGACCCTGGAGATTTTTCAGCTACATATCCAGGGGACATGTCGAACATGATTAGAAACAACAACAACAACAACATTATTCAACATGGGGGTATGTAGGAGTTCAACCAGCTAAGTATGAGATAGACGCCCCAAAAGAAAAAACATGGGATGGTTTACAGAAAATGTTCCTAGAAGCCTAGTTGTTTGTGTTATGCACCTTTTACCGGTTTGACACCCATTTCTGGTGGTTTGCTGATGGCTTGCTGATGGTTTTCTTTCCCGTGATGCTTTCCCCGGGGGGCATATAGAGACTCCTGCTTCGGATCCTGCGCAAGGTACCACCAAACGCTCTCACTGTGGATGTGGTAGCCCTGCCGCAAGTAGAGATGGCTCATGGAGTGGTTGCGATGTTTTTTCCACACATTTGGGATGGTTTATAGCACCCATTTATTTATGGTAATTGGTTTACTATTATGATGCAGTCAACCAATCAAACATGATGCAGTCAATTTGTTTGGTCGCTTTTGTTTGTCGGAATCCAAGAGTTTTTCTTCGGACATCCGTCCAAAATCGTACCAACTCTATTTGGGTGAGACTGGTTCAGATGCTCTATCTTTATCATTTGGTGAACGGACATAATTTGTTCCAAGCCCCCTCATTGAAACGATAGTGGAATGTGGTAGATCTATTGATGCTGGAATCCCCCAAAAAAAGTTTTACATATTGCAGGATGCAATTGACCTCCTTGACTGGTTCCAAAGGTTTTTTCGGCGAAACATGCTTTCATTGGCAGTCGGGCAGATAGACCTGCCAGGTTGGGGAGTGACTTGCTAATTTCATCAGCATGTGTTTAAACTACCAAGAGAACCGGGGACCTGCCAAATTGTATGGCCGGTGAGAAAAGCAGGGGTTTTACAACAAAAACCAGGTTCTTAAAAAGAACCCTTTCTTTTATATATCTCCCTGATATGTCATCATTTTTTGCACTTGCCCCATCATATCCACTGGAATCCACAAGAAACCATTTATCATTCCTGACATCACTCCTATTGAGTTCATGGTTTCGGAATTAAATGGCGCCACTCCATGGGAATTTGCAGACGTTTTCCCTTGCGAAGATATTTGTAAACATCATTAAACAAAAGAAGATGGGTTCTTTAAAAAAACTGTGTGTGTTTTTGTTACAAACCTGTCTTTTTTGGACATCTCCCCCAAAACCAGGTTTTCATTTTTGGACCTACAAAATCCAGGGTTCTAGTTTCGCTAGGTATCTTTATTTAGACTATAAAGGAACACACAGAAAACAGCCAAGTTCGCCCTTGCTTGTTGGTTGCCATGACAGATACGCATAGCCGGCATAGCCGGCATAGCCGGCATAGCCTGAGGCGATGGCAGCTGCGAGATCAACGCAGAATTGGCAGAAGGCCGCGATTCTGCCCTGGCCATGTCTGGGGGATTTCATTGAACATATTGTAACCAATTGTAACCACTAAAAAAAATAGAAAACATATAGAAAAGCAAATCGTGATGAAATGATCAGGGGTTTACGTTTCTATTTTGTTGGGGATGACTATAAATAGAATATATACAGGCATCTGACAAAGTCGTACCTGTTTTAGGAAAAAAACGTTGTGCCTTGGGGAAGTGTGTTTCGCAAAAGTCGTGCCTTTAGCAAGAACGCATAGGAACTCTGGAGTTTGGATATGTAACCCGTTTTCTTATGAGATCACGTAGCTGATCACTATTAGCATGCAGAATTCCAGGTTGTGGGTATGTTGATTAGTTATGGGTAAGATGGCGTTGAGCTGGTGATTTGATGATTTTGTAGTACAAAGTAGTACTGGGAAGTGCTTTGTGCAAGCTTTGTAGTACAAAGTAGTACTGGGAAGTAGTTTGTGCAAGCTTTGTAGTACAAAGTAGTACTGGGAAGTGACCCAGAGAATAGAAAAATAATGATGCAGAATCCCAGCGTTGACATGCAGGTTGCACACGAGAATTACATTATAAGAGAGTAGAAAACCAATATTTTCATCAATCGCGTTCCATTGTGTTTCATTGGTTTTTCATGTCTAAACTGCATGGTTACACTTTTATTGAGGACAGCGTTCCATGCAGAAAAGCATTTAGGCATGACTTAGGCATGACTTCTTGGATACAGCGTTTACAATGGTAAATGCCATTCAAAAACATGCTAGGCATGACTTAGGCGTGACATTGTCGCTTCCCTGTAGAGTGATTTAACTCCTGTCACCCAGAATATTCCTTTTTGTGGATTTAATGCTTAGAATTATCCAGAAATGGCGAAGCTTTCAGATTTGTGAAATATGTGAGGTTTTTGGGCAATTTTTGGGAATTCAGTGGATGTCACCCTGTCCAACAAATTGGGATCAGACCACAAAAATGCAACGATGAACATCGAGATGAAGAAGAGACAAAACCTTCGGTCATAGAATTGGATGATGGGAAAATTTACAGGAAAACCCTATATTTGATGGTAAAAACCATGGTTTCCTGTAGATTTTCCCTTTAACCACTCCATTGATTCGGATCAAACATGTGAAAAAAGAGAACAAAAACATCACGCGTTGATAAAGTCCATGAACGGAGCATTTGAAACATCAACAAAGCAGTTGTTGCAGCCTCTATGGGTGGGTCATCGATACCCCTGGGTCAACTTGTTCGTATCACTTGGAAAGCCTATAGATTTGTGGTTATCTTCCCATTGGTTCATCCACGATTTGGCGAAAGTAAGGCCTTCATGGGGGCATGGGCAAACTGAACTGGCACGTCTTCCGGGTTCGGAGGCATTGCAGTTGCTGAATTCGTTGGCCTCTCGCAGTGGCTTGGGATGTGGAGCACTTCGTGAGATGAGAGAGGCGTGGCTTGGGCCCCAAGCCTACCAGTTGATGCCCAGCCTCTGTGAAACAGCTACTGTATGGTTTGTAGCAACTAGTTCAAAGGGGATGATGGACTCATATCCACAAACTAGAAATCCAACGTCCAACCAGTAGATTTGTGGATGAAGAGTTTGGACCCTGCAAAGGTTGCAGGTGTGCATCGTTTTTTTGGGGCAGCTCCAGAGTTTTTGTTTTGGTCATATGATTAATTATTTACCCTCTGGTAAACCAACATAGCTATTGAAAATGGCCATCTATAGTGGATTTATCCATTAAAAATGGTGGATCTTTCCATAGTTACGTTAGTTTACCAGAGGGTAGGATGATCCCAAGCAACATCGACAGGCTATGGGTCATGGCTGCCGGTTAGCTGACTCCATCTGAGCTTCACTCATCGTGAGAGGTCATGGAAGACAATGCCAAGAGGAAAGAAGTCGAGGCGACTCACCGTGCCAGTTGAAAATGGTTGTGTGCTCAGCACATGAAGTATTGGGGTTGGTGAATGTTCCCTCATTGTTGTTGGGTTCTAGGTCATTCTAGGCTTTATGTTTCAGAAATCTTTTAAAGTCAACTGTTCCCTATTTTTTTTCCGATGCCGGGTATGTCCTTTTGTGCCAGGCAACTCAGAAAGCCCTCTCAAAAGATTTGGGACGACTCCTAAGTGGCTCCGCGATGCGTCGGGAGTTGAATCCTATCCTAACAAGATCAACCGCTGTCAACATGGGGATGTTGAGCAGAAAGTCAACCACTATGGAGTCTGGGGATATCAAGCAATATGGACTGGATGGCTATTGTATGGTTGACTTGTGAACTGTGGGAAAATCATCAAGAATAGATAAGAATAGATAAGAATCGGATGTTGAACCAGCAGAATTTGAGGTTCAACTAGCAAAATAAAAGGTAGGCTGATGGGATTATTTTCTGCGATTGATGGATGAATATGGATGAATATACAATCCTGGTAAAGTGATTCTTTTTGCGTGTTTTTTTTCAGGTTGCGGGCAGCCATGATTGCTGAAGAGTTGGTGCTTGGGATATTAATGAAGTTCGGTCTGTCATTTCGACTAGTGTGACTGACCGTAACGACGCGGGTTAAAACGTATATACCCTCTGGTTATTTAACATAGCCATGGAAAATTGCCCGGTGATTTTCCATGGCTATGTTAGTCATAACCAGATGGTAATATTTATGGGTTGGATCAATACCAAACCAACCATCAGCCATTGACTTGGTCCACATCCTGAAGCATCAGCCATGAACAGTTCAGCCACTGAACGGAGGTGAAAACCCATGGGTTGTACAGGATTTTGACCTACAGTCATATGGTCATATCCTATAGGATCCATGTATGGTATATATACCAACATAAAGGGGGTATATTGATGGGATCCATGGCACACCATATATAGCAGCACCATGGATCCGTCATGCGTATTTGGTCGCCGGGCGACGACTGGACTTGTCATTGAGGTGATCCCTTCGCTGGAGAGGAACAACCTCTTTGCGCTGTTAGCCACTCGGTGACCAGCTGTTTTTTCCCAGGAAATCCATGGAAATCCACCTGGATCTTCAATATCTTCAATAGGGGACTAGCGATCGACTAGCGGTCGCCAGTTTCACTACAGAAATTTGATAAATCCATATAAATCCCATGTTGGATCTAGCTATAGCAGCTGGATCATGTTTTCCGGTACCAGATTTGGATTTGGGGATCTCCGTAGCAAAATGGAAACTGTTCTATATTAAAAAACAACTAAAGATTCCCGTTTTTTGGTCACCAGTTGAAACAGGAATTGGCAATACTCATCAAGGTGCTGGACCCATTTACGGCTGGGGACAGAATTGGAAACGAATAAAATGAGAAGGAACATCCGGAACAGCCAAGATTACGCAAACGGATTTTGGGGAACACCTTGAATGCTGCATGAAAATTAGCTTCAATTCTACCACATGCAAAAATTATTCACACCATCAATTATCCAGTTGAAACCCCCAGCTGTCAATGGGTAGACTTCAAGGTCAGTTTTTGGAGGACCTCTCCCTGTACCATGGCTATGCTGGTGATGGGTGACTGATGCTGGCATAGCCTCTGGTTGGGTTTGTACAGGGCGCATCCGCCCTGTGGTTTCCCTCTATAAACAATGTTAGTCTCAGGATGTTTCAAGTAATAATACTCCTGTTTTGGGGTTCCTGCATGTGAACTTTTCCTTGTTTCAGTGCTGTTAAGAAATGTTTGATCATGGAAGTTGCATCAAGCCCTGAATGTAATAATTATGTCTCCAACTACCATGAATTTTCATATAAAACACTGGTAGTTGGAGACATAACTATTACATTCTCCATATACGTTCTTTTTCATAGAAACAGTGTTTCGACATTACATCCCTAAAAGGTGGGGAAGTTGCACCGTTAAACGGTGTTACTCCCGATCCCCAGTGATGCTGGGCGAATCCTAATATTTGTATAATGCTAATATAATATTATACATGTGTAAATATAGACAGATAGATAGATAGATAGATAGATAGATGGATAGATAGATAGATAGATGGATAGATAGATAGATAGATAGATTAGATAGATAGATTAGATAGATTAGATAGATTAGATAGATTAGATAGATTAGATAGATTAGATAGATTAGATAGATTAGATAGATAGATAGCTAGATAGAGCTGATAGATAGCCGCTAGATCGCTAGATAGATAGATAGATAGATAGGATATGATAGCTAGATAGATCGATAGATAGATATAGATCTAGATAGATAGATATAGATCGCTCGCTCTCGCTCGCTCTCGCTCTCTCGCTAGATCTCTCGCTTCTCTCGCTCGCATCTAGATCTCGCTCTAGATATAGATAGATATAGATAGATATAGATAGATATAGATAGATATAGATAGATATAGATAGATATAGATAGATATAGATAGATATAGATAGATATAGATAGATAGAAACACATATATTAATATATGATTCTGCAACACAACGACCTCACTAAACGCGATAAATAATTATGCAATTACTAAATCGTTATTAGATATGGGGAAATAAGCCAGCAGCCAACAGTGGAGGCAGCCTATTTGGATGACAACATCCCATGGTTTCCGGATGATTTGTCTCGCGACATCTACCCAGCTGCTTTTTAGTTCCCATCAGTTTGATTGCAAGGATGTGTTTGATCAAAATCATCAACCCCCAAAATGGATGATTGCTTAAGAGATTCTGCTGCAGGATGATACTAGATCGATTTCAATAGCAATCATGACATGTTCTGGTTGGTGCCATAGCATTTTCAACATGTTTCCATAAATATGGACCATATGGGGAATGATATGACCCTCATTGACTTTTGCACCCGGGGTGGCTCAACACCAAAGGCCCAGTTGGTCGCCTGCGAGGTCACAGCCCCTTCTGCATCGCCGTGTGCTGCTACCCCTCACCACGGCCCGGGGTGAGCTGAAGGCGCACTGGACAGTCATGGTGAACCAAACATGGCTGGCGGTTGGTCATTGGTTTGGGGAAAAATACGAAAAAATAGCCTGGCCGACATGTGGTTCAATATTGTTGCAATACCAGGTTATTGCATTTTTTTGTTTGAGCATTCAAGAGTTTTGGTTGGAAGTTGAAGAAAAGCGGTAGGTTTGAACGAGGGAAGCGACCTAGTGAAACTGGTCCTCCATGGTGAGTTTTGGTTTGGTTTAATGCCAGGAACTTAAACCTCCTGAGCTGTTTAGTTTATTTGGGGGTGGTACGGGTGGTACCGTTTTAGTTACGGATAGTCTCTATTCCGCGGGGGTGGGGGGTTGCGGTAACCTTTACTATATCGTCCAGGGTTGATTCTTTCCATATGCTCAGTGTATGGAATATTTTTTTAATCAACATTTACACCCCCAAAAATCACCCAAATGTAAGGTAAATATACCATACATGGAGCATTTGGGCATGGAAGGTGGGTGGAGAAGATCCAAATGGCCTCTTTCGTCAGCCCTTTGGGCGCGCCGCTGGGCCCTGAAGTCGGAAGCGCTTGCCGCGACGCCATGGCGTGCGAACTTTGGGACACGAGTGTGGCAGGCTGGGCCTCTGAAGCTTGACCTTCCAAGCTTGGTTGCTGCAGCCTGGTTGGTTGATGATGATTTAACATGATTTAGCCATCATTCATAGGGGGTTTAACATGGTTTAACCATAAAGATATGGCTGTATAGTTGGAATATAGCTGATGAATGATGGTTGGTTGATGATTAGGGGATTCTACTACCCTTTTTATACTGGGTGTTATTTCATATTCCAAGAACGGGGAATCCCGTTCTGAACCAGCCAGGATGGGAATGACAGAGAGATTTTGAACACTGCTCAGATTGGAACAACATGGAAACACAGGGAAACAAAAGCGGGATGGTGAGTTCAACAATGGGTTCATTTCAAAAAGATGTGTATACCTGCGGAAACAACATGGTTCAACTTGGACAAATAATAACCGAAGATGGTGAACTTAAAGATGGGTGTGTGCATGTGTTCAAAAGATAAGTAAATACACCTCCAAAGCAACAGAAAGGAACAGCATAGACAGATACCAAGGATGGTCATTTGAAAGATATTGAAATATGTTTTTGTTTAAACAAATGCCAGGATGCCAAATAACATGAAACAGTACCAAATGTACCAGTTGGTACACTCTCTTTGAGCCGTTCCCTTTTTTAACGTTCCTTGAGATGACCAAGTTCAGCAAGGGGCTAAGCACGTCCAAGAGCTGTCATGTTGAACGGCCAGTTCATGGGTGGTAGTCTTTGCAGTCTTAGTTGTTATTTAATTTGTCAATGTTATGATATCCAATTGTTCAATAGTAAATTATTGTGTGCTGCAACATTCAACAGATCAACAGCGGAATCCCCATCATATATTCAAAACGATGTTTGCTCATGCTCAATTCAAAGGCCATTTCAGGAACCTGAATTGAGGGTACCTACCATATATAAGGCCTATGTAAGGGGATGTGCCCCCAATTTTCATGGCTTTATATGGTACATACAGTACCTCCAGTTTAGGTATCTGAAATTGCCATTGAATCTACCTCAAATGGTTCTATCTATAATCAGTTAATCTACCTCAATGGTTACATAGTGTACCCCCAAATTATACAACATCAATCATTGGTCCCTGAAATTGGAATCAATCATGGGTCATTTCCCTCAGTTAATCTACCCCCTCAATGGAAATTCCCATGGATCGAATTCAGAAACGACCGAGGACTATGCCATCACATTGGCGTGCATCGTTGCTGGAGCAGTGGCCCCCTTGTGCTTGGCCTGCAACGGAAGCGGTGACGACGGTTGTGTCACAAGCCGGTTGGCTCATTCCTGGTCCAAGTTCCATATAAGAGATTAATTACTGATTACTTATATATTTGCACTGTATAGTATATATATACACAGTATATATATAATTACCCACAGACGCCGTGTGTTGAATGTTGCTCAGACATTAACATTGAGAATGTCGTGCTGTCAAATATATGATAGGAGAGATTGCAGAAAATACAGCGTATACGCTGTGTTTTCCCGTTTAGGATTCAAAGTTTTCAGAGCCTAGGTTTTAGGGTTTAGGGTTTTAGGGTTTGGGGTTTTAGGGTTTGGGGTTTTAGAGTTTAGGATGGTTTAGGATTTTAGGGTTTAGGGTTCGTCGTCTGGGAAATCTCAAAACACTGGCTCTGCGCAGGTGTTTGAGCATGTTGAAGGATAATGTTTAAGCATGTTTAAACGCCATTTGAACCTTCCGGCCTTCCGGGCAACACACAGCGCCTGGCCGTATATATATATGCAATATTATGCAATCATAGATTTTATATATACATATATGTTATATATATATATATACATATATGTTATATATATACTTATATATATATCATATATGTATATATATATATATCACTCAAGGCGCAAACCAGGCCTGTCCCACGTATCAGCGTTCGGGCATTGCCCCAACATGGGTTCCCCGTTAAAATTACCGTTCACGTTGAAGGCGCGGATGTCTGAGGCAAAGAAGTGCTAGCAAGGAGGTGCTGTTCTTAACCCTGATAATCACCACGGGATTGAGCTTCGGCATTTCTGGCTTCGCTCATATGCCCTTTGGCTTGCAGAATGTTGGAGGGGATGGGTTGTTTGAGAGGGGATGGGTGAAAGTTTGACCCTGCGATTTGCCCATTCCAACAGGAAAGAACAGGAAAGCACATAGCCGTTCACCCCCAATTTGACAGGATCTATGTTTGTTGGATGGGGGCTATCTTTCCCATGTTTTTTTCCAATGATTCTTCCCAAGAAGTCATCGAAAGTGGATTCTTGGATTCTTCCCAATGAGTGGTTTCAGCCCAAGTATACTTGGTTCAGCCCAAGATTTTTAGTCGGATTGTTCGTGCAACCATGTGCAATTCTTCCAAAAAATGGTCCTGAGGATGCTCTTCTTTGTGCAGGAATCTGGCGAGGTCTGTGGTTCGGCATTTTCTGAAGCAACTTGGCCTGGAGAGGTTGGTGTTGGTGGAGACCTGTTGAAAGCGAAATCACCATAGAAACTAGGGGGGCCAATGGCCCAATGTTGAAAGTTAAATCACCATAGATGATTTAGTGAGGATACACTCTTCTATTTTTTCGAGGACCAGTGTCTGTGAAAATACGGAGAAAATTACCTACAATGTGAGGCCCCCCCAGTTATATCTAAGTTGGTGCACATAACTGCATAACTCCAATAACTATATGGTTTATGGATGTTTATGGATGTTTATGGTACTTATAACATCTTATAACTATAGTTACTGGGGCGAATCTAAACCAACTTAGATATCTTGGGGGCCTCACATTGTATCAACGGTGGAATGTCCGAATTTCCTTCGAAATCGATTGGGATTGGCTTGGCCGTTGAGGCGATGCGATGTGACAATCGATTGCCGCATAGTCTGTATCAATAATGTTCCATAAGCATCAATTATATTATCTATGTATTATATTATGTATGTACAATGTATATAATTGTATATATATATATATTAGAGTGGGACGCCACCAGGTCCCCAAAAATACGTGGTTTTGACCGTTTTTTTGACTGTTTTATGCTTCTTTTTCCTCTTTTGATCATATATGAAAGATCAAAGTTCTTGGGAGATGTACTGTTTTTGGCTTGTTAATCCTTAGCTCTATTCTTAGTTGCTTGCTTTTTGTAGCTCTATTAGTTGATTACCACAAACGATTCACAAACAATACTAATCGATGGGTATCGTTTGATTCAACTCAGTCGCTGTGATTGTCACATGTTTCAACGAAAGCATTCTTGGGAAAGAGTCTCGGTTTCATGCATGTGTTGATCCAGCGGCCGTCGATCATCGGTGAAAGCATGTTTATCTCTTCCGTCGTAGCTTTTCGCTCGAGGAGTTCTGATTATAAGTTTCCTCCCGCTCGATCTATCAACCGCCCTTGCAATGCCACCCATGGTGAATACGGATGGGAACATAGTCGTGACGAGTTGTGGCGAAGTCAGGTGGAAAGGTGATCATGACTGCTGGTCGGCGGTTCACCACCCTCATATCAAGCTGACCGAGTCACACATGGACGAAACATGCCGTGGCAATCACGAGTGGACCTTTGAACTCAACTCGACCTACAAGAGGGCTCCTCGTGGAGGCATCGAATTCTGCAAGCAGCGCGGGTGCCTGAACGAGTTGACGCAGACTCAGGTCCAAGGCGAATGTGAGTACGGCGCGTCATTCAACCCTGACGGTCGGTTGCTTTGGAAAGCTCACGTGGCGAATTGGAGAGAATCATCTACCCACATTGGACCGAGTGAAATTCGTGCACGCACCAATGTCGATCAAATTTTCGGTCTCATGCATCAGGATGGCCTTCCGAAGCGTGCGATTCGCACAGCGCGAAGGCTGTTTTTTGTTTATTATGCTGATCACTATAGTGTCAGGTGTTTACTTACATCTCGTTATAAATACTAGTTGCAAAACTTACGTAAGTAAAAAACAGTACTTACCTCGGACTTAGGAAAACTTACAAAACTAGGGTTTTTCTTCATTTTTTCCTAGAAGCCAAGTATGTTGAAAAATGTGGTGACATATAGCAAAAAACATACTTTATTTTAACAATACCTGCGGTTTTGACCGGAAAAACTTGTCTAGCATGTTCCAAGTGAATTTATCATCTCTCATCGGTTATCACCGTTGATATATATGGTTCAATGTTTAGTTCATAACCTCGCTGCATCTGTCCTGAGCCATGTCCCAAGTAATTTGGGAATATCTTTCACTTCCGATTGAATGGATCACCGCTGGCGGTTCTCACCATTTTGGGGCTGGGGGGTCATGAGCGTATACCAGCGTATACCACGCGTATACCACGCGTATAGCACGCAAATACCACGCGTATACCGCGCGTATACCGCGCGTGTACCACGCGTATACCAGAAAAGCCTCGCGTATACCACGCGTATACCCCGCGTATACCACGCGTATACCAGCGTATACCAGCGTATACCGGCGTATACCGGCGTATACCATCTATAAATAAATATCTATATATACCAAAGCCACTGTAATGATGTTGCACTTGTTTTGATTGGATCGTAGGTTGGTGATAACCGCATCTCGGTGAAAACCGAAAAACTGTGCAAACCTCATTGTTACCGGGGTGGTCCTAAAAAGTCGGATGCATGCGCGCACGCACGCGTGAGCGTTTATAAACGCAAATCAAACTTTGCGTTTTTTTAAGTAGAAATGGCTGCTTTCTTGTTGAAAAAAGGATTGAAAACGTTGAATACCATTTTTCGCATATTATGACAACAAAAAACAACAAAATGAAATGCGCAAAAAACAGCACCCAAAGAAACTTACAAAAGTTAAGCTTTAAATTTTACAATTCTGTAATATATATAACTAGATACAAGTAAAAACCTGACACTATAGCATGGTGACCACCGTTGTCGCACGCGGGCCGACAGAGTCTTCTGCAAGAACTGGACGGCGCACCGGCGCAATGAATTTTTGAAGGAATTCGGCGACTATCTGCCCTTGCCAATCCTCTTGCTGGCTCGACGCCTGAGGACACAGAAGCGCTGGCGCAGATTTAGCATGGACCGGGATTACCGGCGAAGCCCGAAGAAATTGCTTAAGTCTTACCCTCGCGAATATCGGGGTAAGCTTAAAGCCCTGGTCGCTGACATTCGAACTCTCGATCCTGAGGTTTGGCACAGGGATTGGAATTTGAAGAGAAGGCACGAACTTGCATTCGAATACGGTCGCTTTTTGACTAAAAGACAAGTTGAGCGCCTTCTAGCCTGCCCTGAGCACCCAAGATCCAGCAAATAGAGTCAATGATTAGAAATCATCGGTTTGATTATACAATTATCAGTTTTTCATGGAGCGATGAATCACTATAGTAGTGTTCAACGTTTATGCGCTGTTGTATGCTGTTGTTCGTGGACGTTGCGCTGGAAGCATCCGCAGGATCGGGAGTGTCGATGTTTGAAAATTGACGAAGGTGAACGTTTGCGATGAACCATTGTGAGATACACAATGTATGTGAATCAAGCTGGTCTTAAAGTAAAGCCATGCTGTGTTTGCATGAAAATTCACCTTCGTCAATCTTTTGCTGGGACTTGCCTCAGTCAGTTGGTTGGCGCGGAGTCGTTTGAAGGCGACGCCTGTGACTTTGGCAAGTGTTTCACTCCGATTTTGCGTCTCCGAATTTTGCGTCCGAGTCATCAGCAAAAAGCATTGCAAGCTCGAGCTTCGAGGCGGGGAAGCCTGAAACGACGAAGTTGCACTACTTGTGGAATGCTTATGTTGGCACGGTTGGTTATTGCTAATCGTTCAATTTATGACGGGTGATTTATGTTGGCACGGTTGGTGTTGAACGCGGTGGTTTTCAATTTATGACAGTTGATTTATGTTGGCACGGTTGGTGTTGAACGCTGTGGTTTTTCAATTGAATCAGTCGGATCTTCAAACCAAAACCGGGGCCTATAGTTTGGGCAAATGTATCGAACGAATGGTGTTGACTCATAGTGGAAATTTGTGTGCGTTTTGCCTTTGGGTTTACTTTGCTTGGTTTTTTGTTTTTTTTGTTTCCCCCTTGTTTTACACGTCACCGTAGCTTTATTGTTTTTTTGATAGGTGGTCTTAGTGCATGAATGGCAATGTTCTTTGCCCAACAACATCTTGAAACATAGAGATTCATTGTGTCAGTTGGTACTTCATGTATACATTAAAGTATAGGTACTACCTGGGTATACAACTATTGCAAAGACAGTATATACATACATATACATAGCACTTTGTATTTGCATTGGTGGTTTTTGATATTGGATTGCCAGGTCGCCTTTTGGTTGACATCATAGTTCCAGTGGAACCTTTTTAGCAAATGAAAGTGCAAATTCCAATCTACTCTCCCTCCTCAAGTAGTCGCATTTTTTTGGCATACTTCATGGTAACTTGCTGCATCAATGCACAAGCAAGGCAGCCATTCTATAGATACAATTGTTTGATAAGGTTGCTTAAGTGTTTCCTTTACTTGGTCTTGTGCCCTTCTGGTTACCATGATGAACTTATACTGACATAGTTTAAGTTTTGCCCACAGCCATGAGTACATTTATGGTAATAAAATGTCTGCCGCTATATTTGCAGTGATCAGCAAATTACCATGGAATATGCAGGTAAAAACGCCTTTTCTGAAGCAAGGGGGAAATGGAAGTGCCCCTGGAATTTGCCAACTCTTGTGATCAATCGATATTTTAAGCAAAGATCTTTTACTGCATTGAAACCTGGAAGAATACCATTGCATATGCAGGAAAAATGTAGAAAACTTGTGTCTGTAAGGGCATAGGTGACTTATATGCCACCCATTCCATAACTGTATGTACTATATAAGAAAAATGTATACATAAAATAGTTGCAATCTAAGTGCACATGCAGCTTGGATGTGTTGACACAGCAAATGGCTATGGTATCTACAAAAAAATATTGCTTTTATCACAAAATAACCTCAAGATATCAGTGCATGTTCGAAGCTGCCATTTCTACTGTATATATACTGATACTGCACACTTGTGACAATGCGCTTGCATACTGGTTGAAACCATTCACCCACTAAAGCACAAACAACCCCTGAAACTTTTCATACAGTTTATAGATCAAAGAATTAAGAACAAGAGTGAGTATTCATCAAAAGGATGGAGAAGGGACCCCTTTCCATATGAATGCATTCTGGGAGCTGCTACTTCCTAGTCCAATGTGTTGTATCATAGCTGTTTTCTGTCAAGTTTTATAAACAGTCTTACCTTTTTCCCGAATGCGTAGCAAGGGTTCCCGTTTCACTCTGGGGGTCTGGGGGTTGAGGGTGTGTTCGCTCGACGTTGCGTTCGCGAGCGCAACCGTCCGCAACCGTCCGCAACCGTCCGTACGAACTCCGTATGGCCGTGCCTATGGGAAGTTCTGCAGAGGTGGTATTTTTTGGAGGTTTCAGACGTCTGGTTGCTTCGTTTCGCGTGGCAGGCGTGGCACTTCGTGACATTCAGACGTGTTCTGCAACGTGTCGAAAGTCGTTTCGCGTGGCAGGCGCAATACTTTTGCGACGTTTTCAGAAGATGTGTTGCAGTTTTCGTGGCAGGCACAGCACTTTGGGCGTGTCCATCGTCATTTTTCGTGGCAGGCGCAGCACTTTAGACGTGTCCTTTTGCGTGTTTTTTGTAAATCCCATTGGCAGGGCTGCGTCAAGTGGTGACAAGGTGCAAATTCCGTGGCAGGCGTGGCATTTTCTCACATGTGTTGAAAATTGACGGATGCCTCGCACGAAACATCGATTTTGAGGTTACAAATTTTCAGGTTCTAAGGAAAACTCGTAGGAAAACGTCGATTTTGGAGCTGCAAAGTATGAAAATTGGAGGAAGTCTCGCACGAAATGGTCGTTTTGGTGCTCCCACCTGTCTCGTCTCGAGTCTCTGGTTTTCCTGTGGCCTCGCCGTGTCTATGGGGGAAGCTGCAAAACTTGTCCTTTTGTCATGTTGCCAACTGTGAAAATTGCCGGAAGTCTCGTACGAAATGCTCGTTTTGGTGCGTCTCGTCTCGAGTCTCTAGTTTTCCTGTGGCGTCGCAATGTCTATAGGGGAAGCTGGAAAACCTCTCCTATTCGAATGTGTCCAAGCAGGTTGTCATGTCCTTTTGCGTGGCAGGCGTGGCACTTTGTGACATTCCAAGCTGTTTGATAACGTGTCGAAAATGTCAAAATTGGAGGAAGTCTCGCACGAAATGGTCGTTTTGGTGCTCCCACCTGTCTCGTCTCGAGTCTCTGGTTTTCCTGTGGCCTCGCCGTGTCTATGGGGGAAGCTGCAAAACCTCTCCTTTTCGAAGGTTTCCAAGCAGGTTGTCATGCCGTTTTGCGTGGCAGGCGTGGCACTTTGTGACATTCCAACCTGTTTGATAACGTGTCGAAAATGTCAAAATTGGAGGAAGTCTCGCACGAAACGCTCGTTTTTCTGCACCCACGTGTCTCGTCTCGAGTCTCTGGTTTTCCTGTGGCGTCGCCGTGTCTATGGGGGAAGCTTCGCACTCCACACTCTACACTCCACACTCCACAATTCCACAATTTACACTTTAGACTCCACACTCCACGCTCTACACTTTACACTCCACACTTTACACTTTGCACTTTACACTCCTCACTCCTCTCTTGAGACTTTACACTCCACACTCCACGCTCCACACTTTACACTCCACATTCCTCACTCTACACTTTACACTCCACACTCTACACTTTACTCTCTACACTCCACACTCTACACTTTACACTCTGAACTATACACTTACCCTCCACACTCCACACTCTACACTTTACACACTCCACACTCCTCACTCCTCACTCCACACTCTATACTCCACACTCCTCACTTTACACTCCACACTCCACACTCTACACTTTCCACTCCACACTCCACACTCCACACTTTACACTCCACACTCCACACTTTACACTCTACACTCATCACTCCACACTCCACACTTTACAATCCACAGTCCTCACTTTACACTCCACACTTCACACTCTACACTTTCCACTCCACACTCCACACTCCCCACTGCACACTTTAGACTCCAAACTCCACACTTTGCACTCCTCACTCCACACTCTACACTTTACACTCTACACTCCGCACTCTACACTTTACTCTCTACAGTGCACACTCTACACTCCACACTCCACACTTTGCACTCTACACTCCACACTTTACATTTTACACTCCACACTCTACACTCCACACTCCTCACTTTACACTCCACACTCCACACTCCACACTCTACACTTTCCACTCCACACTCCACACTTTACACTCCACACTCCACACTTTACACTTTACACTTTACACTCCACACTCCACACTTTACACTCCACACTCCTCACTTTACACTCCACACTTCACACTCCACACTTTCCACTCCACACTCCACACTTTACACTCCACACTTTACACTTTACACTCCACACTCTACACTCCACACTCTACACTTTCCACTCCACACTCTACACTTTACACTCCACACTCCACACTCCACACTTTACGCTTTACACTCCACGCTTTACACTCCACACTTTACACTCCACACTCCTCACTCCACACTCTAGACTCCACACTCCTCACTTTGCACTCCACACTCTACACTTTCCACTCCACACTCCTCACTTTACACTTTACACTCCACACTTTACATTCCTTACTCCACACTACACGCCACACTCCTCACTTTACACTCCACACTCCACACTTTACACTTTACACTCCTCACTCCACACTCTACACTCCACCTTCCTCACTTTACACTCCACACTTTCCACTCCACACTCCGCACTCCACACTCCACGCTTTACACTCCACACTTTACACTCCACACTCTACACTTTACACACTCCACACTCCTCACTTTACACTCCACACTCCACACTTCACATTCTACACTTTCCCCGCGCTCCACACTCTACACTTTACACTCCTCACTCCACACTTAACAGTCCTCACTCCACACTCCACACTCTACACTTACACTCCACACTTCACACTCTACACTTTCCACTCCACACTCCACACTCCCCACTCCACACTTTAGACTCCAAACTCCACACTGTAAACTTTACACTCCACACTCCACACTTTACGCTTTACACTCCTCACTCGACACTCTACACTTTACACTCCACACTCCACACTCTACACTTTACACTCTACACTTTACACTCTACACTCCACACTCTACAATTTACAAACTCCTCACTCCACACTCCTCACTTTACACTTCACACTCCACACTTTGCACTCCACACTCCACACTCCTCACTTTACACTTCACACTCCGCACTTTGCACTTTACACTCCTCACTCCACACTCTACACTCTACACTTTCCACTCCACACGGCAGACTGGCAACAGGGGAAATATGAACAAGACTGTTCAAATAAACTATTGCAGAAAAGTGTTGTGCGTCACTGCATATCCATGTGTTTTGACATCTGTGCCATTAACATACGTGTGAGCATTCGGGTTCGTGGGCTTCATCTTGTTTTAGGTGTTACTCATCCTGTCATAAAAGATCATAAAAGCACAGCCAAGCAATTATGGTAACAGGGTACCTGGATTAGATATGCAGTGGCATAGCAAATTACTGTGAAATATGCAGGAAAAACATATTTTTGGAGAAAGGGTAAGTTGTAGCAGCCCTTACCATGTGCCAACTCTTACGAGCAAAGTCAGTTGCAACCAAAGAGTCTTTATTGCAGTCAATCCTGGAAGAATTCCATTACATATGCAAAGTACATGGGAAAAACGTGTGTACGTATTGCTATGCGCTACTTATGTAGCATCCATATCATAGATGCATACAGCAGTACTACTACAAGGAAAATGCAAGTCCATCAATGTATATAGGAGGGCTATATATAGGAGGGCTAGGAGAGGGGGGAAGCTCATTAAAAACAAAATGGCTCCCTTTCCTTGGCCACCTCTACCCTAAGACATACACACACTATGTTTGTTTTTCCTCCTTCCTTTTCCTTGGGGATCTTCATGACTCTCTGGACATTCTTTGGCAACCTCTGGCAGCCCCTGAGGAAGTCTGACAATCTGTGTGGATCTCTAGCACTACCATCACAGGTATATGAACATAAATTATCGAATATGATGTAGCAAAAACACTGCATTCCCAGAAACTTCTGTATATATATATATATACGTATGTTACATATACAAGTAAATGTGCATTGTATATCTACCTGATTTCATATGTGCCATCAAAAAAGTTGAGCTGTATGTTGTACACCCATATGTGAATATATACATATATATATATATATATTAGGGGATGGTCATGAATCCATTTTTTTATGGTGATGCATACATCCATGCGTGGATTTCCATCTATCATCATCGATAGTCATCCTCGAGTGGATCGAACATCCATGAAAGCCCCATATTCATCCATATCTTTTTTACTTCAGGATGATTGTAATATATTGTAATATTATATATTTATGTACATATCACATATATATATATATATATGATGATGGTTGAAGATGGCTGGTCTTCATGGCCTTCAAGGAGAACAGTGGATGGATGTACGCCTGGCTCCTGGGTCTGATTCCAGCAGCTTTCTCACCGGCTGCGTTGGCCAGTCTCTCAGCGAGCGCAACACGGGGGCGGTTGACGAGCCATTTCCCTTGTTTTTCGAGGTACAAAGTTACACATCAAGTACTGTAAATATTTGCCATGTCATCAAACATGGCTGGAAAATCCTCCATTGAAAGTTTTTGTTTCCCCAGCTATAACCTCCATTCCTAGCGGATGTTCAAGTGCAATGTAATGTTTGAATACCGGAGGGTCGGTAAATAGACATGTATGTAGTGCCACACATGCCACACATGCTCGGTGTTTAGATATAGTTATTTATAGAACTTGACCCTCGTTTGAGAAGATGTTTAGAGAGGTGGTATCAGGAACCCTTGGACTTTCCGACACGTTGACAGGCTCTGAAAGATGATATTCCCGAGATCAATTTTGATATGTATGTATATAACTATATATATATGTATATATATATATATATACATATATATATGAAGTTTTTCCACCATATACAAACATTATGTTTGTGTGTATTTCTATACTCCCGTACAAGGTATATATGTATATGCCGAAAAGGAATGCACCTAGATAGTTGTCTGCAAATAGATTTAAACACGCAGAGAAAAATAGTTCATACAGTATATAAACTACTGTAATACTTTATTGCATATATTACATACAGGATATGATAATACATTAATGTAACAACAATAACCGTGTGATATTTTTTCCCCTGAGGTATGGCGGCCAGAGGGGCTCGATTTGACTTCGGATGGATCATTGTGGCGTCTTGGTGATGGTATCCATGTGGCTACAGAATATAAGATAGAAAAACACTAATGTTGGTCAAGCAGCAAAGCAATGTCATAAACCAAATCCTAAATTTTATGTGTGTGGGATTCCAAGCATCAATTGCTATGGGTGGTGTATTTATAATTGTTTTACTAACATTTGACATGCATTGCAATAACTATGATATAGTTTTTCCATTCGGGATGCAGCCATATCCAAGTTTCACCTTGGAATTGCTGAAGACTTTGGCTGGACCCTTGGGTAGACGGCAAGCTGGAAGATCCCAAAAAGGAGGTTTATCGCTGTGAGAATCATGTCGAGAAAGAGGCTAAACTCTCCGTGTAGCAGGTATGTATTTGAGCGATCTTTCATGTAAAAGCATGCATCTTGACCTGTAAAACGATATATGAACTCCCAAAAACGATAACATGGGAATCAGTTCATGTGTGAAAGCATCGTGGGATGTCAAGGGGTGGCGTTCATGACATGATTGTGGATACCTGTTCTAGAAGCATCTAGATCATCTAGGCTCTCAGTTGTGGGGTATAAAGTATACGGTATATGTCACGCCCAGCTCACACAACGGAAGATGTGCAAAAGTATGCTGACACTCTTGATCCTGGCCAATTTCTTTATTTCTGATGATTGCAAACGGTTTTGTGCCAATCACGTATTGTTCTGTGGTAATGGATTTGGATACTCATTTTGTCTCGCCATCGCTCAAGCCCTCCAGATGAGTGTTTTGTATGTTCGTGCTTTCATGCAAGCAGTGACGATGACAACAGGTCTCCTTTCCAACTTTCTTTGATTCAGCTGCCACCGGCCAGAGAGCTGCGGTTTGACGATCTTTATGCTAGATGAGGAACGCCAAATCATTGGACCATGTCGATGGTTTGACTTAGCTACGCAGACGCCGGCCAGTGAAAGGCCTGGAGCATGCTGTGAGAGCTCATCCGGACTTCTTCCAACATACTGAATTCAAAGCTTCTTTCTGAGCTTGAGAAAGGACGGTGCAACTGTGATATGCAGTTGCATTCGCAGGTATCATACCATACCATACAGTTCCAGCGCTGCAAAAGAAAGCGCGAGGCAGTCGAAGTGGAGGTGTAAGAAGTATTCCTGCATCCATTTTGCAAGGGGAACCAGATGATGCAAGCAGGATATACTGTAAAACGATATAGTGGCAGCTTTTGCCAATCGCTCAATGTCATGATGGAATTTCCACGTTTGATTACCGGATGGTCGCAAATTTTTGGGGCTACACGCAGCCTTTTGGGATTATGAGATGTTTCAAACTCTATTCTCTTCATTCTGGGTGAATGATAGGTTCTGCAATCATATCCAGGAAGTATGCGCCACAACGTTTCGACAGTATTTCCACCATCACTTGACCCGGTGGCGATCCATCCACGATGTCATGAGGTGAGTGTCATCCTCCTGGCTGTCATCGTTACGGCAACCTGGCTCCGGGTTGGTTAAGGAAACTTGTTAGGTGAGTTGTATGGAACATGTGTATATATACATATATGCACTTAATTAATTTATGTATATTAATTATGTATGTATGTTTGTATGTCTGGAATGTAATGGAATGGAAAGGATTGGAATGGAATGCAATGTAGTGTAATGTATGTAATGTAATGTAATGTAACGTAGCTGATGTAATGTAATGTATGTAATGTAATGTAACGTAACGTAATGTAACGTAATGTAATGTAATGCAATGTTATGTAGTGTAGTGTAATGTAATGTAATGTAATGTATGTATGTAATGTATTGTAATGTAATGTAGTGTAGTGTAATGTAATGTAATCTAATGTAATGTGATCTAATGCAATGTAATGCAATGTAATGTAATGCAATGTAATGTAATGTAAGTATGTAATGGACGTAATGTAATGTCATGTAATGTAATGTAACGTAACGGAATTTAATGTAATGTAAGTATGTATGTATGTATGCATGTATGTATGTAATGCATGTATGCATGTAATTTATGTAATGTATTTAATGTATGTAATGTATGTAATGTATGTAATGTATGCAATGTATGTAATGTATGCAATGTATGTAATGAATGTAATGTAATCTAATGTAATGTAATGTAATCTAATGTAATGTGATTTAATGTAATGTAATGCAATGTAATGTAATGGAATGTAAGTATGTATGTATGTAATGTAATGTAATCTAATGTAATTGAATGTAGTGTAATGCAATGTACTGTAGTGTAATGTAATGTAAGTATGTATGAATGGAATGGAATGGAACGGAATGGAATGGACTGGACTGGAATGGAATGGAATGTATGGAGGAATGTAATGTAATGTAACATAATGTAAGGTAAGGTAATGTAATGTATGTATGTATGTAATGGATGTAATGTATGTACTGTAATGTAATGTAATGTAATGTAACGTAACGTAACGTAACGTAATGTATGTATGTATGTATTTATGTATGTAGTGGATGTAATGGATGTAATGGATGTAATGGATGTAATGGATGTAATGGATGTAATGGATGTAATGGATGTAATGCATGTAATGCATGTAATGCATGTAATGTATGTAATGTATGTAATGCATGTAATGCATGTAATGCATGTAATGCATGTAATGCATGTAATGTATGTAATGTATGTAATGTATGTAATGTATGTAATGTATGTATTGTATGTATTGTATGTAATGTATGTAATGTATGTATGTATGTATGTATGTATGTATGTATGCATGTATGTAATGTATGTATGTATGTATGTATGTATGTATGTTTGTATGTATGTATGTATGTAATGTATGTATGTATGTATGTATGTATGTATGTATGTATGTATGTATGTAATGGATGTAATGTATGTATGTATGTATGTATGTATGTAATGTATGTATGTACGTACGTACGTATGTATGTATGAATGTAATTATGTATGTATGTATGTATGTATGTGTGTGTATGTAAAGCAATGTAATGTTATACTATGTAATGTAGTGTATGTATGTAATGTAATGTAACTTAAGGTAATGTAATGTAAGGTAATGTAGTGTAAAACAATGTAATGTTATGTAGTGTATGTAATGTAATGTAGTGTAGTGTAGTGTAGTGTAATGTAGTGTAGTGAAATGTAATGTAATGTAATGCAATGTAAGGTGATGTAATGTATGTATGTATGTGTGTATGTATGTATGTATGCATGCATGTATGTAATGTATGTATGTAATGTATGTATGTAATGTATGTATGTATGTATGTATGTATGTATGTATGTATGTATGTAATGGATGTAATGTATGTATGTAATGTAATGTAATGCAATATAATGTAATGTAATGTATGCATGTAATGTAATGTAATGTAGTGTAGTGTAATGTAATGTAATGTAATGTAACGTAATGTAATTTAATGCAATGCAATGTAATGTAATGTAATGTAATTAATGTAATGTATGTATGTAATGTAATGCAATGTAATGTAGTGTAATGTAATGTAATGTAATGTAATGTATGTAATGTATGATTTATATATATATGTAATGTAATGTAACTTAATGTAGCGTAATGTAATGTCATGTAATGTAATGTAATGCAATGTAGTGTAGTAGTGTAGTGTAGTCTAGTGTAGTCTAGTGTAATGTACTGCAATGTACTGCAATGTACTGCAATGTAATGTAATGTAATGTAATGTATCTATCTCTCTCTCTTTATATATATATATACATATATATATTGGTTCCCAAACGGTCGATCACTTGACTTGCCAGAATTGGGTATCCTCAAGTCTCAACCCAGGATACACACGGGACTTCAAATGGCCACCTTTGGATGCTTCGATTTCAACAGGTGGCCCATCCCGATCTAAATCGGTTTGTTTCAAATTTCGAAATAACTTTGCAAAGAAAGTGATGAGATATCTCCCATGTGCTCCATGTATAAAATATTTACCGGCATTTGGGTCACTTAGGGGCTAAATGTTAGCAAATATACCATACATGGAGCATTGGGGTATAGAATTGATTTGGTTCCTGACCCAATCTTGTCCCGAGAATGTGGGACCCCCAAGAAGAATTCCTTGCTTTTCTGAGATCGTGGAAGTGGCGCTCTTCTTTTCCCGACTGGAAGTCTCAGGTTTGGTTGTTGCTTGCCTCCGGGATTAAGCCAGTGATTTTGTTTTAAGGCCACATCAATGGCCGCTGAGACTGTAGTGGTCATTAAATGTGTGGATATACAACATACTGTAACATACTTGAATGTTACATTACATCCCGGTAAGAAAAACATATTATAGGCCCCATGAATGAATCCCCAGCCCATTCACAAAAGACACGAAGATCGATGCGGCAGCGACAAACACAGTAGATTTGGAACCACAACAGGGACCATATCCCAAAACATTGAGCTGGGAAGCCAAGTTTCAGGTTCCATCTCCAGTTTGCTGCGTGTGATGGATGTTCCATACTATAGTCATTCATCCCGCCGGGTGGGTAATTGAAAGTGGCGGCGTTGCCCTTTTGATGTTTGTGGATCCTGTGTCGCTCGGCATTTTCCAATGAATTTCATGTTTTTTTGCCAAGTTTCGTCTCGACTCCATGGGTTTTATTGTTTTTCTGTGCACTGGCCATCAAATATGGTCATTTCATCCCCAGAAAAGTGCTCAATTTTTGGTGGGTAATTTCAAAAAAGAGTGTGGGGCCATGGTTTTGGCACATGAAAGCGTGTTTTTTTTTTCTGCGGCAATGTTTGGTCACATGTGTGCCAAGGTTTTGCCAGTCAGAGACATTAGAAACGTATTTGGAAGTTGATAGAGAAGATAGCAACGTACTTGGAAGATGTCTTTCAAGGGATGCCAACCTTCTTGGAAGTTGATAGAAAAGATAACAATGTAGTTGGAAGATGTCTTACAAGGGATGCTAACGTAGTTGGAAGTTGATAGAGAAGATAACACCGTAGTTGGAAGATGTCTTACAAGGGATGCTAACGTACTTGGAAGTTGTCAGAGAAGTAACGTAGTTGAAAGTTCTTACTACAAAGGACGTTAATACCCCACCCCACCCCACGCAAGATGTTAGAGAAGTCAATCACGTAGTTGAAAGTTCTTACTACAAAGGACGTTAATACCCCACCCCACCCCACGCAAGATGTTAGAGAAGTCAATAACGTAGTTGAAAGTTCTTACTACAAAGGACGTTAATACCCCATCCCACCCCAAGATGTTGGACAATTAAAAATAGCGACGACCGAACGTTCGGTTTTCCACCCGTAGGCTCAGTCATGGTAGTTATGGTTGATACCAGCAGCATGAATGGTTTATCCAGTCAATTCATACCCGTTGAAAGTGCTGATCCATCAACGAAAGGCAATGTCCCAATTTCCCCAGGGTTGGAAATTGAGTGGTAATCATTTGGCTGAACCTTCAAGCCCCGGAAGGACAGTTTAGTACTTGAACTGTTTGCATTACATGCATATAAATGGAGGTTTCCTAAAATCGGTGTAGCCCTAAAATATCCTAAAATCATCCGGTTTGAATGGTGTTGTTTCCATCATCAAGCATCCAGTTTGGGGTACCACCATTTATGGAAACTTCCAAATGAATACGAATATTCTTTATAGACCCACGGAACATCCAATTATTTGCATGGTCTCCAAGATACGCTACCCTATGGTTAAACTCCCGTTTTTGACCGTCAACCCTTCATTTTAAGATAGTTAAATCCCACTTATATATCCAATTTAAAGTGGATTTAACCATCCATTTCTGATAGTTAGATTGTTAGATCCCCATGTTTGATAGTTAAGCCAACAAAATGGATTTAAGCATCCATTTCAATCCATTTTTGAGGGTTAGATATTTTTAGACCCCCCCCATGTTTTATAGATTTAACATGATCTAACCTGATCTAACATGATCTAACATGATCGAAGTATCAAATACCCATCATTTTGTTAGATCCCATGTTAAACCATATATATATAATCTTAAATCCAACAAAATGGATTTAATATTCCATTTCTGATAGTTGGATCCCCAAATTTTTGATAGCTAAATCATGTTAAATCCACGTCTGCCCATGGATTCTCCAAGGTTGGCACGTGGTTCGTGGCAGCCTCCGGCTTTGCTCTGGTGCTGTTTCTGGTGGATGGTCTTCGCAACAGCTTCTCTCCGGCCGTGGTGTAGCGCGGTGGAAATGGTGAAGCAAAAAAAAAGATAACTGGTATCATTAACCAACAATGGTTGGATCAGTAACTGATATGATTACTGATATGATTACTGATACCATGGTTGGTGGTTTGGATCAGTAACCAACAATGATATCAGTAATCATATCACTACAGAATCTACAGAATACTATAACTGGTTGGTGCTTTGGAACATGAATTTTATGACTTTCCATTCAGTTGAGAATTTCATCATCCCAACTGACGAATTCACATTTTTCAGAGGGGTTGAAAGCACCAACCAGATAATATATGGAGGTTTTCCTGAAATGGGGGTACCCCCAAATCATCCTTTTCATAGGGTTTTCCATTGTAAACCAAACATTTTTGGGGATCCCATTTACGGAACCCCCCATATATATAATTATATAGAATGCATGATATGTATGTATAATATATATATGTATATGTATATATATGTATTATATATATATATTTGTATAATATATATATATAATACATATATATATAATACATATATATATAATACATATATATATATATACATGTGTCCTGTTCACAGGAAGTTGACGTTTCAGGCTTTGCACCATTAATGCCGTTTCTAACTCTCAAGTTCAAAGGTGAATAGGGCATGGAGCAACAACTTGCTTTGGTTGCTGTTGCGTTCTGCGGTGGCTGGATTGGTCGGGACTTCGTGTGGTCAGCACCCAAACCTGAGCCCCAAGTGTGTAACTGTAATTGCAAGTGTGTTGGGGATCTTGGCAATTCATCGTGGACTACGTCAAACAATCTCCTGTTATTCCTCTTGGTGATCGGGCTTTGCATTGCCTTTTCTCAGACTGCTCTCGCTCTTCGGGTCAGCTTCAAGGACGGAGCCACAGGAGCTGATCGAACTCTATCTGTGGACGTGAAGGGAGCTGGTAAGAGTAAGGGGGTCTTTGGTGCTGCCAAGGGATTACAATTGGTGAGTTGAGTGACACGACATGGCTCTTAACACTGGAACCATCGTTTTTGTCGACTACGGTGAACATCCTCCATGCGTACATACACGTTTGGTGATAGAGCACATCGAGAATAACGACTACATAATTGGTACTCCAGACATGGATTGCTACTGTGAGACTTTGCACCCCACCAACCCAGACTATACTGGTTTTCATCTGGCCGGACCTGGTGGTGCGGTGCCTGTCGGGGTCAATGCGGCCCATGTGTATGCCTTCCAACCCATGTCAGCCCAAGCGTATGCCAATCTGCTTGCCCAAGGTCAGACAGAAGCTGGCTTGGAACGAGCTCGACGTGGTCTCAATGTTGCTGCAGGTCCTCCAGCTGCAGCAGGTGGGGCAGCCGTGGGGGCTCAACTGGGGCAGGTTTGGGTACTGGCTGAGATGATAGAAGGTCACAAAGTTGGAGAGCGTGTCCAACCTCCGATGGGGCATGCCAACAGTGGTGACTGGGGGCTCATGGATATCACCAACAAGGATAATGTCACCCGTCCTGCTCTCATCCATCGTGTTTCAGAAGCTGACATTCCCGCTTTTTGCGATGAGCGGGTTCGCTTGGCACGCCTCACCGAGTGCCTTGAAGGCGATGACCGGATAGCTGGGGAAGATGTGAGGACCCTTGCTGTCAAGTATGGCATGGGGGGCGAAAGGCTGAGGAACTTCCGGGAGTCGATTCAAGAAATGGTGATGGTGGAGTTCGAAGACTTCCCGCTTCAGCCGCGGACAGCGCTGGAATACTGCAAAGCAGTGGCCTCCATTGCTGAGTCAGCAACGGCTCAGCACCATATGTGGCTTGGTGGTGCTCGTTTGGCAGACGGCGACAGGTCCGCCTATGAAGATGAGGTCTTGTCGCGGATCATTGACCTCGCCATATGCTATGATGGCCTCAATGTGGCAAACCTGGCCTCGATGGAACTGGTGGTGAGACGCCGCCAGTTGATTGCGGAAGCGCATAGTGCTTCGCCAGGAGCTCCGTCATATTTAGGGGCGGAGCATTTCATGGGGCAAACATACAAAGCTGGTGGAGGAGTCGTGGTGCCAATGTTGACGGACTTTGTATCGCGCAAGATGCAAGCTCAGAGTGCCATCCTCAAGGAGAAGCGCAAGTTGGCCGAGGCGAAGTCTGCTGCGAAGGGTGGGGCAAAGGGAAATCCAAAGGGTCCTCCCAAAGGTGGGGGGGCCCAGTCTTCGTAACAGTTTTCTGGCTGGGGTGCGGTGCAGCAGTCGCATCTTGGATCCAGTCTCCCTGCTGCAGATGGTTGGTGTCAGCAACTCTGTTTTTCACGAGCCTCGTGGTGATGATAGGAATCGAGACATCTTTCCTTTACCCTTGATACAGCAAGAGGGCATTCCACGGGGAAGAGTGTGCAGAGCTGTCAGTCAGAGGTTGGCACGCCGACGTGCCATTGGCACCATGACCAACAAAACAATCCATGCCTTGAATTCATTATTTTTTGGCGAGTCCTTTTCTGGTGACAGTCCATGTGTTCCCTCGTTGGGTTTCTTGCCACTGAATCAGAGGTTAGCTATCCAGGATATCATGGACAACATCAAGTCATTAGGGGCAAGACCCGCCGGTGCAAGTGGCCCAGAAGCCTTGCAGGCGCTTCGGGCGGCCGTATCCAGTTACTCCGAGCCGGAGATCGGCGTTGGTGAAGTGGTGCCCATGGCTTTGCAGCAGTTGTCGCTCCCTGATGGGGTTGCATCTGGTGTGGAACTGTGTGGCGCCCTTGATCATTCAACAAAGCGTGTGGTAGAGGACTTTGAGAACACAATGCTTCAGGATGCCAATGTGTGCACTGCTATTTCCAGCGATGCTAGGAAGCTGCAACCATATGATGATCCCTCTTTGAAGAGCAGGCCTAAATACCTTCAATTTCTTCGGGAACTTTCTGATAGGGGTATCCTGGGTATTTCTGATGGCTGTAGGGGCAGAGTTGGTGCTTTTACCGTGGCTAAGAAGTCAAAACTTATCAATGGTGTTTCTGTTCCTCGTCAACGACTGGTTCTCGATTGTAGGCAAACCAACATGATGTTTCGGCCATCTCCGCACACACAGTTGGGGTCCCTTTCTTCATTATGTGATCTGGGGATTGATGAGAATTAGCAGTTGCATGTGGCGGGAGCAGACATCCGCGATTGTTTCTACGCGGTGAGCCTGCCGGCTGGCCTTGAGCAATTCTTTGTCCTGCGTAGTGACCTGACTAAGGAAGAGGCCATGTGGGTCACTCGTGGGCAGCGGCACTTTGACAGTATGCAATCAAGATTTTGCCCAGCCATAGTTGTATTACCAATGGGATTTTCTTGGTCGTTTTATCTGGTTCAGCATATTCACGAGTCAGCTGTTTTGAGGGCACTGGATATCGATCGAGGTTCCTTGATTTTAGAAGGCCACCCTATTCCCAAGTTGAACGATGACTCAATTCTTTCCCTCCCTTATTGCGACAATATACATGTTCTGAGTACAGACAAGGATCAGTGCAACAAGGGTTGTGAGAAGGTATGCAGTGAGCTTCGTCAACTAGGTTTCGAACTACATGAGGAAGAAGAAGCCAACTTATTTTTCAACACCTTGGGTGGCACTCTCAATGTCGCCGCAGGTGAAGTCCGGCCCACTGCGCTGCGAGCCTGGCGCATTATGGCTGCATTCGAGCACATCGAATCGCGACCGGTGTCAGGCAGAACAGTGCAGAAGTTGTTGGGGCATGCTATGTTTATATGTGTACTTAACAGGGCTGGTATGGCAATTTTTCGATCTTTATATGATTTTGTGCAACGTAATATTGATGATCTAGATCGACTACGGCTTCTCAATCACCGGGAGCGACTGGAGTGCAGGGTATTTGTTGGTTTGGTTCCCATGTTATTTGCTGCCCTTCGGCGTCCTTGGAGTTCTACAGTGATTTGCAGTGACGCATCACCACAGGGTTTTGGACTGTGTGAGAGGGAAGACAATATCTCTCGCATTCGTGACATGGCCAGGTGGCACGAGCGTTGGCGCTTCAAGCGCTTGGATCCTTGCGAGTGGAACCCAAGGAGACGCGCGATGGGATCAGATGTGGTGGCTGATATGGGAACAGTTTTGGGTGTTAACGAGGATGAAAGGTTATTGGAGCAGTATGTCCAAAACGACGACTTTCCTGAGATTCCAAAGCAGTTCATGGATCCAAAGTCCTGGAAAACTTGTCTCATGGGAAAATGGGGTCGTCAAGATGAGCATATCACCTTGAAAGAGGGGCGCAGTCTGGTTTTGGCTCTCCGCAGATTGTGCAGATCTTCACATAATAGGCAAAAGAGGCATTTGATTCTGGTTGATAATTTATCGCTGGCGTTTTGTGCAAACAAGGGTAGGGCTCATAACTTTAGCATGTTGCGCATCACACAACAGTTGGCTGCACTACAGTTGGCAGGTAGTTTTTCCGTCAGAATGCGATGGGCCCCATCGGAACTTAACGTGGCGGATAGCCCGTCACGAGGTTGCCTCGAGGCGGGTGCTCTCCGGAGCAGCTGTCCTGCCCAAAGCTCGTTCCCAAAGCCGAGTGTTGCCAGTGGTGAAGAATCAGGTCAAGCAGGCAACTACAAGGAGACAGTTAGTTGCCCCAGCAAAAGGGCCGATAGCGATGAAGAAGCCCAGCTGTCGGGTGGTGAGCAACCCGAGAGGGATAGTGTCAAATCGTCCATCTCCTCGTCGAAGCATTCAGAGGTTGCCACCGGAACAGGAAGCAGATGTTGGCAAGAGAGCGCAATCCCTAGGTATGACCATCTTGGAACTGCGATCAGTCAGCTCGGAAGTTCAGTCCCAATACCAGAAGTATTATCAGACGTTCGAGAATTTCTGCCGAATTTGCGGTGCAAGATGGCCCCCAGGGAACGACTGCGATCTTCTACTGGCAGATCTGCTAGATGTGTTGTTCGTGGAAGGCAAGAGTTGCAACGAAGGCGAAAAGATTGTGGCTTCGGTGGAGTACTACAACATCCATCTCAAGGGAAAGCTGCAGCGAAGCCGTCGAGCACTCAAAGGATGGAGAAAGGAAAAGCCTCCCCAAAGTCGCCTTCCCATACCAACAGTGCTGGCTCAGGGTATGGCAATGGTTTTGGCAGCTCAGGGGGACAAGTTGATGGCATTGAAGTTGCTCATCGATCACGATTGCTACCTTCGTCCTGGAGAAAGCATCGAGCTCAGGGGAAAGGACGTGGTGCCGCCAGTGGTCGGTGGAGGATCGCCATACCGTTTTTATCACCTGATCATCAGGGACGCGGAGATGGGACACCCGGACAAAGTGGGAGTGTACGACAACTCTATCCCGTTGAACACCCCCAAGATGGAATATCTGGGGGAGCTGATCCATCTTCATGCCAAGACCCTGCAGAGAAGCGAAAAGCTGCTATACCCGTTTACATCAGCTCAATTTCGGGCCAAGTTTCAGAAAGCCGGTGCCGCCCTGGGCATTCCAGGGTTGCACCCATATCAGCTCCGACACGGAGGAGCATCCGAAGACATCAACAGCGGAAATCGGGACTATGCACAAGTGAAGCAAAGAGGCCGGTGGCACACCGATCAGAGTGTTCGCAGATACACAAAGGTCGGGAAGATCCAGCAGTTGTTGAACAAGCTATCTCCAGCAAACTTGCAGTTTTGTCGCTGGTCGAAAGGGCACATGGAAGCAGTGATGCGGGGATCGCAGACAGCCCAGATGCCTTGACCAAGTTGGGATGGATCAACGTTCTCAAACTCAAGCGACTTCCAAGACGTTTTTCACTAGAAGTTTTTGCTGGTACAGGTAGGATCACCTCTGCAATTTGTAAAGCTGGTAGAGATTGCTTTCCCATCGATATTTGCATTGACCCTTCACACAACCTCCTGGATATTCATGTTGAACATCGTATTCTTCATTTGTTGGATTCTGGTAGGGTTGACTCCCTTTGGTTGGGTATGCCTTGTACTTCTTTTTCTACTGCTCGTAAGTGGGACGACCTCGGACCTGGGCCACTCCGTGACATGGACAACTTACATGGTTTTCAGTGGCTCACTGGCACAGACCTTGCAAAGGTTCGAATGGGAAACTCTCTCCTTCGTGTCTCACTCCGTTTGCTTGCAAAGTGTGAAGAACGGGGTATACCGTATGCGCTGGAAAATCCTATGTCAAGTTATGCTTGGTACATGCCAGAAGTTCAGCGGTTTTTGCACAAATATAATCCTCAACTGGTACACCTCGACTATTGCCAGTATGGTGAACCTTGGAGGAAACCAACCACTATTATGGGAAACTTCTGGAATTTGGCTTCTCTTTCAAAGCGTTGTAAATCATACAAGGGAGTTTGCAGTGCCACTTCCCAACAACATGTTCGGCTGGCAGGAGTCGACAGCAACGGCGTCTTCATGACTTTGAAGGCTCAGCCGTATCCACGGGCCTTTGCTGCATTGGTCGCCTCTCTGCTTGCCAATGCCAACGATTAACATCGTGGGATACAGGAAGTGAGTTGTGTGATCTTATTTTCCCTTTTTTACCAAAAGGCACTCATGTAAAACATTCGAGTGTCAAAAATGTACACCAAAAGCTGTGCAGGATTTTTTGGAACCTGCCAAGCTAACAGTTGAAACAATGTGCAGTGGACACAACTGCATCTGGCATGGAAAAGGTGCCTTGGCCGACAAAGTCATGTGTCCTGTTCACAGGAAGTTGACGTTTCAGGCTTTGCACCATTAATGCCGTTTCTAACTCTCAAGTTCAAAGGTGACCTCCACCTCCCCTACCACCGCTGAGTTGTGTGATCTTATTTTCCCTTTTTTACCAAAAGGCACTCATGTAAAACATTCGAGTGTCAAAAATGTACACCAAAAGCTGTGCAGGATTTTTTGGAACCTGCCAAGCTAACAGTTGAAACAATGTGCAGTGGACACAACTGCATCTGGCATGGAAAAGGTGCCTTGGCCGACAAAGTCATATATATATATATACATATATATATATATTCATTATGGGAAATAGTATATATATATGGAAAATGTTTATATATTTATATTGGGATATAATATGATATATTATGATATATTATATGGAAATTCCATAATTTCATAATCAGAATTTCATATGGTAGTATAATATTCAATAATATTCTATCTGAATCTGAATTCTATCTGATCCACGTTTCATTATACATATGGGAAAATTGTGATTTGATCAGCAGACCTGATATGTTGGTTTAAGCGAAGAAGTCAAAGTATCCTCTGAATCTATCTATATATATATATACATATATATATATACATGGGATGTACAAGTGTCAAAACCGAAGACCAGGAGCCACAAATCGGGATTTTGGTTACAGCATAGATGCATACAAATGGTACTACACGCAACTGTAAACTACAAACACAACTGGGGATAAATGCTAAATGCAAACAATTGGGAGCGGTCACAGTTTTGCACACGAATTGGGTGGGGCTGTAGGGTTGCTCCATGCCAAAATTTATGGACATGCCCGAATCTTAAAACGGGTTGATATCAAAAACCGGTGAACGATTATAGAATCATACGCTCAACTCATCGATTAAAAATGGGGTTTGCTGCCATGGGTGGCAAATGCCTGAAAATGAAAGATGTGTTTTTCTTGTTTCCTTCTATCCCAACTCCCACGGATAGCAAAATGTGCATGTTCGAGCACCTTGAAATTCGACGAAACCTGTTGGCAAGTTTTCACTCCACCATGGACTTGAGAAATCCCCTGTGTTTTTTGGCCAATTACTTGCTGGCATTATGCCAGCATCAGTAGCACCCTGACTTGGGCGATCCGATGTTATCTCCTGTGATTAAGTCGTTTTTCCAAATGGTATGGAATTTTGAGCCCAACATAAATTTCTATAGATTCTATTGGTAGCACATTTCAACATCCCCTGGCCAGGTATGGAATTCTGAGCGCAACTATGTATATGTTCGGAGCCTTGTCCCTTCTTCTCCTCGCTGGAGCACTCCCAGATGCCACTGGGCGGCACATGGGAAAAAGTACCAAGTTTACAACACCTGTGCGTTGCGTTAGAATTCCTGCACAGATGTATATAAGATTATATAAGGACATGATCACAATCTTAATAATACCATAAAAGGCCATAAAATATCATACATGTATGTAGAGTAACATTCAGATTGGATATCATGTGATTTTATCGTTACTGTATAGAATATCGGGCTACTTGCGGGTTTTTGTATTCAGGCCCACCTGCTTCTAGTGCTATATAACCTATATAACCAATTTGGCCAGACCCGAAAACCCATTGGTTTCAAAGTTGGGAATGGGAAGGGCCATCAAATTCTTGGGCAACTTTGGCAACTTCAGATGGTTGTGGAAATTAGGACCCCAATAGTCTGCACTAACAATCTTAACATATCTTCAATATCAGGTTCCGGTTTCAGAGCGCTAGACTAATTGGATTGAGGGACACAAAGCTTCTCTTTGGAAATACAAGCAAAATGGGCAAACTGTGATCATTGTGTGTCACCTAATTATATTACCTTGATAGAGTTTGCAACCCCCGGTTCCAAGATCATCAGAAATTGCTGAAGGCCTTCAACGCCAACGCAGTATTTCACGTCTTGGTCTTTTTGATGGTCGTCTTTGCGTTCCTTTACCGTCAGCAAGCAGCGCCAGCAACGTCCAAATTTGAGATGCAAGAGGCGCCTACCAGCCAGAAAGCGGAGGAAGGGGCTGCTCCCACCAGCCTCTGAAAGCGCTGAACAGGAGGTAGTTGCCCGAAGCAATGCGCAAGGATAAGTGATCGGGAGAGAAACCCGTGCCCCTGTGCCATTGGTCATCGGGCGATAAAACCTTGTTTGGCTTCGTTTTGGTGCCGAGCTTTTTGTTCGTGCACAATTTTGCTTTAATTTGCCTACGGCACTGCAACTTTTAGCCGCTGTTGTAAAGAAGCATGGAGATCATTTGCTGGACATACCACGGTTGCACAGATGCGTTCGTGGTCTTTCGGCCTGCCAAAACGTTGCCGTTTCGCCTGCTACCGGAATCTTTTTATGACAATAATTTTGTTGAGAAGTTGCTATTGCATTGTGGAGATCCTTAGACCAAGTCTACCTTTAGTTACTTTCCAACGCCACAATTGCTGATCGCTCACGTGTGAGGGTAGTTTAAAGGGATTCGAAGGATGCTAAAATGGGTCATGTTGGTCATGCAACACACACACACATAGCGCAAAGCTTCCCTATGGCTTCACCAGTAGTGCCAAGCTGTGATGTGTAGTGCAGGGTCTATGTTCCTTGAGTAGCTTGAGACGCTGCTCAGGTGGATACATTGAGCCCTGGCATCGCGCGTTATATGCTCAACATATATTTCCTGAAAATGCAATCAGCCACAAGCTTACTTGTAGAAAAACACTAACTATTACAGTAATACGAGTGAAGTGTCATGATTTTCTTGACCCCGGTCTCTAAGAAAAATCATTTGAAAAGAACATAGGCAATGGTCAAGACTTGGAACCCAAACTCGATTTCATCGATATGTGTTTCATTGTTTTTCTTTAATATTTTTCCGGATAAGGGTGATCTTAAGATATCTTAAGCTAATTGTTGATTTTCAGGTTAATTTAACTAAATCTCAATCCGAATTTGATGAATAATTAAGTTCAAATCAAAATAATATCTAATAATTATTGAGACATCCCGACACTTAGCATATATTCTTTTTACCTTCTGCTAGAAATTAAATTTAATAATTAATTCAATAATTATTTGATTTAAAATTAAATTTACAAAACAAAAAATATTAGAATAATTTATTAAATTATTCATTCTATTTTTAGATGAATACATTGGGTAAAATATCGTATTAATCGGACAAATAATTGTTTTTTAGATTTTTGTTATAATTTCTTTTTTGTTAGATTAGTTTTGTTTTTAATTTATTATTTTTCTTTTTCGAATTTTAATAAATTACAATGGGTATTGCCGGGCCTTAATTGCAAGCTACAGATATTGATGGACATTGACAGAGCTTAACCGCGAGCAGTAGAACGCAGTGGGTACGGCTGGATATTAATCGCGAGCTTTAGATTACAATGGATATTGCCGGATCTTAAGGGCGAACTCTAGATTTCAAAAGGACATTGCTTGATCTCAAGTACGAAGTCTAGATCTCAGGGAGCAGTGCCGGATCGTAATCGCGGACGCGGATCTGGGATTGGTATCTCAACTACGACGTCCAGAGCTTGGTGGACATTGCCCGTTTGCCTACTAATTTGGTACTTGTGGTTGAGAGCTGGTAATGCTTATATTGAAAAAATATTATAAACATATTTAATAAGACAGTGTGGTTTCGGTTCGGTTCGGTTTTGGTTCCTGCGGTTCGTGGTTGTTTTCGGTTTGGTGCTTGGGATGTTTTTATTAAATTTAAAAGATAATTATTTTTCTAATTAATTTATTGGGGGAGGGTAAGACGGTGCTGGTTTTTCTTATTTGATTTTATATACGGTTTTAATGGTTTATGATTCCTATGATTTATAAATTATTTGATTTTTACGGTTCGATTTTATAATGTTGATTTGATTTAAACATATTATTAATAAAATATAGAAAATAATTATTTTATTTTGAATTATATTTATTATTGTGCTAGGAGAAAGGGCTTAGGAAATCTTAGGAATTTCGCACGGTCGAGTGCAGCCGACTACAGCCGACCAGCCGACTACAGCCGACTACAGCCGACTACAGCCGACCAACCGACTACAACCGACTACCGCCGACTACCGCCGACTACAGCCGACTACAGCCGAGCAGCCGACTACAGCCGAGCACAGCCGACTACAGCCGAGCACAGCCGACTACAGCCGAGCACAACCGAGCACAGCCGAGCACAGCCGACTACAGCCGACTACAGCCGACTACACCGACTACACCGACTACACCGACTACAGCCGAGCACAGCCGAGTACAGCTGAGTACAGCCAACTACAGCCGACCACAGCCGAGTACAGCCGGCTACAGCCGACTACAGCCGACCAGCCGACCACAGCCGACTACAGCCGGCTACAGCCGACCACAGCCGACTACAGCCGACCACAGCCGACTACAGCCGACTACAGCCGAGCAAAGCCGACTACAGCCGAGCAAAGCCGACTACAGCCCACTATAGCCGACCGAGCACGGCGGACCAGCTGAGTACAGCTGAGTACACAGCCGACTACAGCTGAGTACACAGCCGACAACAGCTGAGTATACAGCCGACAACAGCTGAGTATACAGCCGACAACAGCCGAGCACAGCCCAAGCACAGCCAAGCACAGCCGAGCCGCCGATGACAGCAGAGCACAGGGGCCTTGCAGGAGTAGATTTTAACCAAAGCAGGCTAGCAGTAACATCCCCCCCCCTTAACTCTGGAATATTTGGGGGGGGTAAGGCAAGAAATTTCTGAGAAATATTTCACCTGACCACGTGAAATATACCCCCCCCCACTTTTTTTTGGGCTTCTAAAAGACGTGGGGGGGGGATGCCACATTTGCCATCCCTGGAGGAGCCCCTTGTTGTTTTCTACCCTGGTGGTAAGAAATACCACGGTGAAATTTTTGAGGGGGGGTAGGTGTAAAACCATGGTATTTTACAGTTCTAGCAGGGTCCCCCCCCAATAAAAT